GCGGATTCTCAACCACTGCACCAACAGGGAAGCCCGCTGGTGCTCCCTTTCACCAGAAGCCTTACCTGGAACCCTCCACTTAACCCTGAAGGATAAGGCAAGGGCTAAGGACCCAGGGCAGGCCCAGGAGGCGAGGAGTTGGCACTCCAGCGAAGGCCCTTCTAGGTGAAGTTTGTTTCCAGACAGGACACTGACTCGGGAAATGACAAAAGGCACACTTTCACATTAATTTCTTAATTTATGGTGGAGAATGGAGAAGACATCTGTGTTGCCTAAGTGGCAGTTTTGCAAAGAATGAAGTGCCTTCCCGGGATCCATCCCAGCCCTCTTCATGCTGGAGCTCCCCTATGAGGTTCTGCGGGTCACTGGAGGAGGCACCAGGCAGCGCGTTGGGAGTGGGTGCTCCAGAGCAGGCTGTCACTGGGTGTGGTGACATCCCTTCCCTGAAGACGAGAAGATTCAGGCCCAGAGATGCTCCTGGTCCTGCCTCACCACTCCCCACACCTGCGCTAGGCTCAGCCACGCCCCTTTACCTGGCATACTCCACGTGCCGTTCCCTCTGCTAGGACACCTGTCCCTGGCCAATCTCTACAACTACAAGTCTCAGCTCAAATGTCCCATCCTATAACCATTTACCCAAGGAAATGGTATTAATGAAATCACAGCCCAGCATGAGAGGCAACCTTCTCCATAGGCTAGCAATGGTCAGCACTTGAGGGAATAAGTTTTTCCATTCTGTTGACTGCATTTTACTAGACCACTGATAAAACAGTCTTAGAAATACCTTGAAGAACAGTTTGGGGAAATAAGTACATTCAACGATGACAAAAGGGATGCCTTCAAGTATTCTGCAGTTGGAAGAGATGTTTCAATTCTGTGGGGAAAGAAATTACGCTATGGGACAAACAAGTGGGGATAACAGGGAGGAGAATTACCAAATACAAAATGAACTCCAACTGAGCTGTTTGAAACTGGACAGACTTCCCTGTAAGTGAGGGACTCAGGCCGGAGCTGGATGACCTGACCGACTACTTGCGAGCAGCGTCAGAGATGGCTCCCTCTAACTCTGAGACTGAGTGGTAGCTGACACAAACATTGAGTTTACTTTAATAGCTCCGATTAAAAAGTATTTTCCTGGGTTTTTAAGTAGATCTGAACTGATAAGAGTCATACTCTTGAATTCTCCATTTGCAATGTTAAGTACGTTTGTTTTTATGGACAAAACCACTCTTTCAGATATGAACTAAAAAAACAAATATTTTTCAGCTGTATTATAATTTTTAAATGGTAAAACCATATTTTAACAAAAAACTAAGTCCCTGAAAGAATTCTAATACAAATGTTCTTGAAAATTTCATAAATAATAATATAAATACGGCTAATAGCACCAATAAGAACAGTACATTTTGATGCCAAATTAAAATTAAAACAGAAACCGTGAGATTCCCTAAATATTTCTTTCTAGGATGTTCACACACACACACACCCCCACACACGCACACGGTTAGCTTAAAAAGCAGTAGCTACCATAAAGAAATCTTTAACAAATTATCATATTATCTCTCTGTGGAAAATAGTAACATTATTTTTTGTATCTAAATCCAATTTGGGGAGTGATATTAGAATTTGGAGAGTCCAATTTTAATCCAATTTCTGTCTTTAGATAAAACTTGTATTATGTCACTTCTTAATCTAACGTTTTTTGAAGAGAAATTATCAAACCTTTCCCAAGAGGGTAACGAAAAAGAATGCAGAAATTCTACCTAAGGTAGAATTAAAAGAACACAGAGCTCTTAATAGCATAAAAGTACAGGTGACTGAATTAGGAGGAAAAGGAGAGAAAAAGTGAGAAGGGTAGAGATACTGATGCCCTCCATCCAGCAAAGTGGTGCTGGGGGCTGTCCTCATCTAACAAAATACACCTGTGAATCATGAACAAGAAACCAATTTGCAAGCACAAGCTACACAATTACAAAAGTAGACCATAAAGGATCTGAAGTGGTTGCATAATTATATTGGGAGAACTGAGGACGTGGGTAGGAGGATGGTTTAAGTGAACTAAATCCTCATTTACCAGCAAAAGTCAATGTCTAAACTGGACAAAAATGCACCCTCATATCAGCTAGAGAAATGGAGGTAAACAGCAGGGGCCAAAACCAAAAACAGTTCAAAATTGATTCCACTGGGGAAAAGGTCTGGGGAAGGACGCGGTCTTACTCCTTTCCACTTATAAGGGCTTCTGTACTGACATTTTCTTTTCCAACTACGTGTAATTATTTTCACTAAAAATGTAAAGGTTTTTAAAACAGGGATGTTTCAAATACCATTCACATGATTACCGAGGGCAGGCTGTGAGCTGTGGGTCTGGCACGGAGGAGGGCCACACGAAGCTCTCACACGTTACCTCACAGAATCCTCATTCACCCCACAGAGAAACCGAGTCTCTCCAGGACGCAGCAGCTCTGGACTGGGTCTGCCCGGCTGGCTCCAAATCCTGTACTGTCCCCACCATCTAGGGACCCCTGGGGAAAATCTCTGGGTCTCCAAACTAAGATGAATATCCAGGCTGTATGCCCAAACAGAGCCACAACTTTTCAAGTGAACCAGGAAGAACACGACACGGAATGCAGAACTGAAAACCAGTGGCATTATAATTATCCCAAGAAACAAATCGTTACTACAGTGGCCTAAATAATGTAAATCTAGATACACCATTAAGACACACCCAGAATGATACATTCAAAGAGAAGAAGCTGACTTATTCTAGAACAGTATCTTGTCGAAAATTGAAAAATCTCATCTGAAGGGAGAAGTTAAGCAACTGAACTTGGTTTTACTTTCCCTTTTGATTTAACTATCAATACTTTGGAACAGTTTGTAAATTCTGTCAGTGCACTGGGACAACGGGAAAGGAAACAAAGGCAAAATAGGTTTGATAATTTTGTAACTTTAAAGCAGCTGTAAATATAACTTGGAAACACCACAGAATTGAACAAAATGAAATAAAGAAAAATTTTGTGGACTTTATTCAAATTATCCTCATCAAGGAGGCTTTATGAACATTCCTCAGCTGGAGATCATGAATTCCTTTTTTTTTTTTGTTCTGCTAATTTGATGCTTTTGTTCTTGCCAATCTGAAACTCCAATACACAGCTTGTGGACAGATTAATTTCCATAGACAGAAATAATTTCCAAAGCTATCTACATCAGAATAAAAAACCTTTAGAAACCCAAGATCATCTTCGGTAGACCTAACCTGTGGTTCAACTTTGCTAACTCTACCTTGCCATCATGTTCACAACCACCTGAAAATGGGACCGTGGTGAAGATTCAAGGAGACAGTGGAGCGCAGTGCTGGCAGCCAAGAGCGGCTTCAACTGAGATCACTTCCAATCAAGCCAATAGGAAAGGAGAGGTTTATGCTCCAACTTGTGGTGCGCCGAACTTTACTCTTACTTTCAGCTAAAAGCTCACAGCTGAATTCCTTCCAGCCCAGCTTGTGTAAAGGACAGCAATATTTTCATAAAATGGCAAAGGGCGAGTGGTAGGTGAAGGGTGTCTGCAGGATGGAATAAGGAACTCCTGGCTCCAGTCTGGTCTGAAGACAGACGTGTCAGCTCTTCCCCAGTCACCACCACATACCAAATCTGTCATCTCACCTAACGATAAGGGCCCACCCCACTCAGGAGTTTGCTCAAACTTTGTTGACTAAAACTACCGCACTGACCATGGACTTCATTTCCTGCTTGTGGACCCCCTGCTACAACTGTGTCTTAGAGCCCAAGATTTGGGGGCTGGGGGAACCTCTGCTCAGTAAGAAGCAGCAACACATGAAAGCATTTAAAATGCTTTCTGGTGTTGATAGGTTGTCCGACTAAACCACCTCACATTTAACATTAACTTTTAATTTCTGTATTTTAAAAAGAAGAAAACTGTGGGTATAATTACAGGCATAAATCAAGTCAACATTGTTGAAAGCCTTGGTTCCCACTGGAACCTTTACTTTGTAATTAAATTACTAACTAGGAGGCTCGAGGAGTTCATGTAAAAGAACCAAATAACTAAACCCTCTAAATTCAGTGCTTCCAATAAAACCCCCCAGGGCTTCCCTGGTGGCGCAGTGGTTGAGAGTCCGCCTGCCGATGCAGGGGACACGGGTTCGTGCTCCGGTCCGGGAAGATCCCACATGCCGCGGAGCGGCTGGGCCCGTGAGCCATGGCCGCTGAGCCTGCGCGTCCGGAGCCTGTGCTCCGCAACGGGAGAGGCCACAACAGTGAGAGGCCCGCGTACCGCAAAAAAAAAACAACAAACAAACCAAATCGACTCAGAAGGCCTCACCGTCAGGAGTGCAGGGGACACGGTCCAGCAGCCAGGCCTCGGGAAAGCACATCCCGGACCGACCCGAGCGGGGCTAGCGGGACTCCGCAGCCCAGGAAGACACCCGGCCCGCGTCCGCCCCAGTGGCTTTGCGGTCAGTGCTCAGGGGTCACCGCACAACACCTAGAAGCAAGGTCGAGCCTAGTGCCGGGGCTCCGCTCGGATCCCACCCGCCCGGGTCCACCGCGATCAGGCCGCCCCGGGCCCGTCCCGCCGTGTGACCTTGGGCGGCCGCGTCCTGGAGCGCACGCCCGGAGCTGAGCGGGCTGCCTCGGCCGTCGCCCCGGGCTCCTGACCGGGCCCTGGGAGGGGAGGGGTCCCGGGCGGCCCGCAGCGTCGTGACCTTCACCGCGCCGCAACCCGCTCGGCTGGAACAGAGTCCGGCGGGCCCTCCCCAGCCCGTCCCACCTTGGGGTCGGGGGCACGGGACCCAGCGTCCGCCCTGCCCCACCCGCAGCGCCAACTCACCGCCCAGGTCAGCGCTAGGCGCCGGGCGCGAAGCAGCCGCGACACAACCCCGATCCCCGACATGTCTGCCCTCCGCAACCGTCCCGCCAGTCCCCGCGCAGACCGCGCCTGCGCACGTCGCCGCGCTCGGGGCCGAAGGTGGCGGGGCGGGACGCCGCGCCTGCGCACATCGCAGCGCTGGGGGGGTCGACGGGGCAACGCGGCGCCTGCGCAGAGGGACGAGCGGACGGCGGCGCTCAGGGCACAGGGGCCGAGACCTCCGTGCCGGAGGTAGGTTGGGGTCTGGGGTCGGGGGTCTTCACGGGTTCGCCTGATTTCTCCTTCGGTCCAGACGGTGTTCGAATTTTCTCGAGTTTACGGCAGTTTTGGGAGATGAACCGGTGCTCGCAGGTAACGTGGTGTTCGCCCCGCTTTCTCTCGGGGACAGAGAGGGAGTTTCCGACGTTTAGGGGTCCCGCGGGTCCGTGTCGGGTTCCGCTGCTTTATTAGGACTGCGCGTTCCGGGAGGCGGACCCTGTAGGTTACCGGGGGGTGGGGGCGCGGACCCTCCAGTTCATGAGGTCTGGGGGGCGCGAACTCCATAATATAGTTTACGGTGTCGGGGTGGGGGGCGCAGGCCTTGTAATTTATGGGATCGGGCGGGCATGAACCCTGTGGGGTGGGGCTGGGGGCGCGCGGACCCTGTCGTTTACGGCAGCGGTCCCCAGCCTTTTTGGCACCAGGAACCGGTTTCGTGGAAGATTATTTTTCCACGGGGTGGGGGGAGGGGATGGTTCAGGCAGTAAATGCGAGCGATGGGGCGGGGGGGATGCGGAGCGGCAGGTGAAGCTTCGTTCACTTTCCCGCCTCTCGCCTCCTGCTGTGCGGCCCGGTTCCTAACAAGCCGCGGACCAGTATCGGTCCACGGCCCGGGGATTGGTGCTCCCTGGTTTACCGGGTTGGGGGGAAGGGAATGCTGCTCCCAGACCTCCCCTATGAGGGTTACGAGCTTCACTACTTGAGATCTCTTTTTTTTCTGTGCTCGCCACAAGCTCCTTAAGTACTGAGCCTTTTTGTGTGTATGTCATTGCTTTATTGCCAGTTAGAATTTTATATCTTTAGGTGTTGAACAAGTATTTATTGAAAAGCCTGTTAAGAGTCTTTGAAGTTGAATTAAGTTTGTTTTGACTATATTTGCTTCGTCCTATTTGTATTTCAGTTATTTGAGACACATCTTCTCCCCCACGATTTGTGAGTTGCTTTTATCTGAGGTCTTGTTTTTTTCTTTTAATCCCATAAGGCTCAGTGCTGTGCAGCGCATACCTAGATCTGAACAAAATTTTTTGAAAGAAAAAAAGTCTCACATGAGCCATGTAGGTGATATAATTGTGACCAATGTATTTTGTTTTTTGTGTGTGTTTAATGGTTTTATTATTTACTTCAAGGTGTATCTCCATGAATAACTTAAATGACCCCCCAAATTGGAATATCCGGCCCAGTTCCAGGGCTGATGGGGGTGATGGAAGCAGATGGAATTATGCCCTGTTGGTTCCAATGCTGGGACTGGCTGCTTTTCGTAAGTCATGGTTTTCCTAATGTGTGTTTTCTGGGCTGAAAGTGTGGCGCTCTAAGATCTTGGGCTTTGGAACCTGACAGATGTTGACTGTAAAAAAAAATGTACAATGTGAGAGCTATGAAGACTGTAGCCCAGGATACAGTCTCTCAGATAGCTGTTAGGAACTGCTCTGAAGAGGCAGGGGAGGAGCCAGGAAATACATGTGGTCCAGCATACGTCTCGGTAAAAGATTAGTACTTGTCACAGAAACCCAGGTGTGTCAAGTTAGTGACTTTAGTGCTTACCTATGTATGGGAAGATGCAGGAATTTGGGGCCACTGCAATTCTTTCTTAGTCATGTATCTTAACGCTGTAGGGTCCCATGTATCCAAAACACAGAGTGCATTCACCCTGAATCCCTTTCCGGGTGAACTTGTAGGTCAGTGACTGTGGCTAATGACTTAATCATAAATGGCGGGCAGCAGTCTTTGTTTACAGAGATGCATGTGTACACCCTAGTTTTTTCTCATGTGGTACATTCTGCGCAAATTATTTACCCTCTGAGCCTCAGTTTCTCTGACCATCATAACTGCCTCAATGCAAGTGAGGGTTAAATAAGACAAGATATTTAGAGGCATTTTGTGTGGAGTGAGTTCAGTAACTGTTAGCTCCCTTCAAGGCTGTACTGCTCTGAGGGGGGCTCCCTTGCTTCATTTGCCCTCATAGGCACTGATGAGGAAGAATAGAACCGGCATAAAAGGAAACTGGTTTTGTATGTCTGTGTAATGTTTAGGAAATCAGTCTTTGGGAGGCTTCATCCATGAAACCTCTGCTCAGGCTGGCCAGAAATTCTCTCTACTTTGAATCGACTTTGTACCTCTTTGGGGAAATTACCAGTCACCAATCAATTGTAATTATTCCAGCTCTTAGCTTATATGCCTACTACATGATGAATTTCCTGATGTTTAGGGGTTGGTTTTATGTTTTGTCACTGTCGCAGAAGAATAAACTTTCCTCCACCCTTTTAAGTTCTCCTGGCTGGTCTAAGAATTAAATTGATATGAGACAGATTAACAGGAGAAAATCAAACAAGTTTTTAACATGTATCCATAGGAGAGACTCAGGAAAATTGAGTAACTTACCAGAATGGCATAATCCCTCACCTTAAATACCATCCCAAGCTTAAGACAAAAGAGGATGTTGAGGTTGGGGAGAGTTAGTTACCAGAGGAGACTAGGAAAAGTGCAATAATCAAGGGTAAGGTTGTTATGCAGATTTAAGCTCTAGGCTTTTCCTATGATAAGAGTTTCCAGAAATTTGGTCAACCTCTTCCTGGTACAGCCAGGGAGACACCCTTACAAATGCAGAACTCCCTTATAAATGTAAGTGTTTCTTACAAAAGGGTAACTCCTACTTGGTTTTCAAAGTTTCTCCCATGTCTGCTGTTTCTTAGAAAATAACCAGTTGAAAATAATCCCTATGCCAAAGAGACATGTTATTTCTTTTTTTGATAGGTAGGAAGTGGATTTATTTAGAGAGAAACACACTCCACAGACAGATTATGGGCCATCTCAGAAGGCGAGAGAGGCCCCGAAATATGGAGTGGTTAGTTTTTATGGGCTGGGTAATTTCATAGGCTAATGAGGGGGAGGGTTATTCCAATTATTTTGGGGAAGGGGTGGGGATTTCCAGGAACTGGGCCACAGCCTAGTTTTGACCTTTTATGGTTGGCCTCAGAACTGTCCTAGCACTGGTGAGTGTGTCATTTAGCATACGCTATGTATTACAATGAGCGTATAATGAGGCTCAAGGTCTACTGAAAGTCAACTCGTCTGCACTCTTGGACCTAGTTGGTTCTAACCAGTTTTTGTCATGCCCTATGGCTGTGTCATTCTTTTAAAGGTTGTGCCCTGCCCGCTTCCCTCCTGTTTCATTCCCCCCGTCGGAGATTTTACTCCCATATTTTTGTGGGAAGCAGAGGGGCGATGGTCCATCTTCTGAAGTTGCTTTGAGACTGAGTAGGGGCATCGACCCCGCCTGTCAGGGAGTAAAAATCTCTAGGATGCCTGATCTAGGGGCCCCAGGAGCAGGACAGCTCCTTGTTTTAAGTCGGTATGGGCTGGAATCCTTGCATAGCCATTGTCTTGATGTGGAAGTGTTGTAACTGTTTCCTTAGCCTTCCCATGAATCTTCTTGGTGATGAAGCACTTTTTTGTTAACAGCATCAGAGTACAACAATAACTATAAATGACAAAAGACTTAAAAGGCGTGGCTAACCATCTGATTACATTTAATTTAACAAACGAAATAATCCTGGTTAAATATTTTTCTTTGAGCTACCTCAGGGACCCTCTAAAGAATCCCAAAGTTAGCTGGAAATCCAAAGAACTTTAATTAAAATTTGATATTGGGAAGTTTGTCAAAACGTTTTAAAAGACTTGGTCAAATAAGATCGTAGGTCACTGAGACAATACTTATTTCTTAACCAAAGTTAAAACAGATCTTGAAAGCAAATACAGATCCCTTTAGGGCGAAGTAACTCATGTTATTAAAAGCAGTCATTCAAGAAAACTTTGCAGGGAGAAACCAAATCCCGTCTTGCCCCAGCCCACTCCCAACAAAAGCCGTTTACCCAACTAAGTTTAATCCAATCTTAGAGAATCTTGATCATGTACAACTCTTGTTATTTATTAGTTATTTATTTATTTTGGCTGCACTGGACCCTTGTTGTGGCACGCGGGCTCTAGAGCGTGGGCTCAGTAGTTGAGGCGCGCAGGCTTAGTTGCGGCATGTGGGCTTAGTTGCAGTATGTGGGATCCTAGTTCCCCGACCAGGGATCGAACCCAGGCCCCCTGCATTGGGAGCTCGGAGTCCTAACCACTGGAACACCAGGGAAGTCCCAAGATCATGTACAACTCTTTTTTCCAGTATTTTTTTTCTCACTCTTTACACCTTCTTTTACTGAAAACATACATTTTTCCTTAAAAGTTTTTTTTTTTCCCACTTCAAATTACTTTTCTTGCTGACAGATTTGCAACATATAATAAGGTCTTATTTGACCTCTAGTAAACCTAGGTACAGCAGAAGTACTATACTTAACATTGATGACTCTAAAGACATATCTGTATTAAATCAACAAGTTTAAGCCTCCTTCAATTCCAGATATTAATTTAATGTTGAATATTTCCTGGATTGCGTGAACCTGAAATTCATTCTGGCCAGTTTTATATTCCTGAGTATTTATATAAGCACTTAATTTTTTTAAGTCAATGAAGTAGAGCTTCTTTACAAATTAATTTTGGTAATACTATACATCTACAACACACTCAGATACACACATAGATACATACAAACACACAACCAAACACAGAGACCTTATAGTTCTCATTTGAAAATTTCAGCCCTGAGTCAGGTACAACAAGGTAAAACCCATCAGTTACAAGGGGTTGGATTCAAATTGGGCTTCTGGCAGATGGAGCAAATCAAGGTCACCTGTCTAGATGGCTAAACCCTTTTTTCTAATGTTTACAGAAAAGACACTTAGGATTTCTTTTCGTCCTTGACAAGTCAAGTTCCAAATTACCTACCCCGTTTTTGAAATTTGCGTTTTATTTTATTTTTTATTTTTTTAACCCAAATTTTTTTTTAATTTAATTTAATTTATTTATTTTTGGCTGCATGGGGTCTTCGTTGCTGCGTGCGGGCTTTCTCTAGTTGGCGGCGAGCGGGGGCTACTCTTCATTGTGGTGTGCCTGCTTCTCATCGTGGTGGCTTCTCTTGTGGAGCGCGGGCTTCAGGAGTTGCAGCACGGGTCCTCTGCATTGGCAGGTGGATTCTTAACCGCTGCACCACCTGGGAAGCCCGAAATTTGCATTTTAAAAGGATGCTGGAGATTAGGGTTCCTGGAGAAGATTAGGTAGACATTTGCATCTTAAAGGCATAGGCAAATACCTCCTAGGATGACTTTGTTCTCTTAAGGCCAGAAGAAACAAGTTTTTTTCCCCCTAAGAATTGAGTAGCCACCTCAATGATATCAAATGACTGACACACCCATTCACCTATGTGGCAAGGTTTTACCTTCCCTCATTTAGCTTAGGAGAGGAGAAGGCCTCCCCCCCAAACTCCTATCAGGCCCCAAATGTCAGCTGTGGTTAGTCAGACCAGTGGCCCCCCATTTTGGTTACTGCTGTTTACAGGGATATTCCCATCCAGGTCTTAATTTAATAGCCACCAGTTGGATATTTCCGGCCAAGCCTAGAACCTTGATATTCCGCACTCCTACTAAGGCTTCTATTGCAGCTCCAGATTTAATCTGTTACCTTCCGCTTCCGGTTAGAATCATTTGGTGACGAGGGTGGTTCCCTTGCCCCTTGAGAACCTTAGTAAGGCCCAAGGGGCCCATTTAAGGGTGGCATGTTGTGCTTCCCTACAACATATCCCATGGTTCTGGGTAGGCACTTAAGAGTATGAGAAACGGGAAAACAGCTGCGCCCTGTTGCAGGGGTGCTTTTATTTTTAAATTATATGGAACACGTCATGAATTTGTGTGTCATCCTCCAGCAGGGGCTGTGCTAGTCTTCTGTGTGTTTTTCCAGTTTTTTGTTTTTTATAAGTATATGTGCTGCCAAAGTGAGCAGGCAGTGGTACTTTTTATGGAGTGGCCTTATGTGCCTGGATTTCTTAGGTTAGCAGGTTTGAGTAGAGAAAGTGGAGGCTGACAAGAGTAGCATTTATCAACTTCATTTTTCTGCCTTTACTTTTAGGCTGTGCTAGGGGGCTACTTAACACCCATATGTTCGATATAATTTCTTAATCTTGTAATAACACAGTTTTGGAGAATCCTTACAAGAAAGCAAAGTTAAAAGTTTTCTCTGATCGCATTACCTAAGCAAGATAACCAAAAAGAAGAAAATACAATATTCCCCAACCCTTCTCAGGGACAAAAAGCATCATTTCAAAAGTATAAGAAAGCAGGAACTTCAAGAATAAAAATTACTATGAACAGCTGTAGAAGCCAGAGATGAGTCTGAAAAAACAAACGGAAAATGAAAGTCACCTCAGGGCCTCTCCCAGCCTCAACACTAATTAATTAATACGTCAGTCAGTGTAATATTTTTTTTTTGAATTTTATTTTATTTTTTATACAGCAGGTTCTTATTAGCTATCTATTTTATACATATTAGTGTATACATGTCCATCCCAGTCTCCCAGTTCATTCCCCCACCCCTGCTGTCCCCCCTTGATCCATACGTTTGTCCTCTACATCTGTGTCTCTATTTCTGCCCTGCAAACCAGTTCATCTGTACCATTTTTCTAGATTCCACATATATGTGTTAATATATGATATTTGTTTCTCTGACTTACTTTACTGTGTTTGACAGTCTCTAGGTCCATCCATGTCTCTACAAATGACCCAGTTTCGTTCCTTTTTATGGCGAGTAATATGCCATTGTATATATGTGCCACATCTTCTTTATCCATTCGTCTGTTGGTGGGCATTTAGGTTGCTTCCATGTCCTGGCTATTGTAAATAGTGCTGCAGTGAACATTGGGGTGCATGTGTCTTTCTGAATTATGGTTTTCTCTGGGTATATGCCCAGTAGTGGGATTGCTGGGTCATATGGTAATTCTGTTTTTAGTTTTTCAGGGAACCTCCATACTGTTCTCCATAGTGGCTGTATCAGTTTACATTCCCACCAACAGTGCAGGAGGGTTCCCTTTTCTCCACACCCTCTCCAGCATTTGTTGTTTGTAGATTTTCTGATGATGCCCATTCTAACTGGTGTGAGGTGATACCTCATTGTAGTTTTGATTTGCATTTCTCTAATAATTAGTGATGTTGAGCAGCTTTTCATGTGCCTCTTGGCCACCTGTATGTCTTCTTTGGAGAAATGTCTGTTTAGGTCTTTTGCCCATTTTTTGATTGGGTTGTTTGTTTTTTTAATATTGAGCTGCATGAGCTGTTTATATATTTTGGAGATTAGTCCTTTGTCTGTTAACTCATTTGCAAATATTTTCTCCCATTCTGAGGGTTGTCTTTTCATCTTGTTTATGGTTTGCTTTGCTGTGCAAAAGCTTTTAAGTTTCATTAGGTCCCATTTGTTTATTTTTGTTTTTATTTCCATTACTCTAGGAGGTGGGTCAAAAAAGATCTTGGGGCTTCCCTGGTGGCGCAGTGGTTGAGAGTCCGCCTGTTGATGCAGGGTACATGGGTTCGTGCCCCGGTCCGGGAAGATCCCACATGCCGCGGAGTGGCTAGGACCGTGAGCCATGGCCGCTGAGCCTGCGCGTCCGGAGCCTGTGCTCCGCAACGGGAGAGGCCACAACAGTGAGAGGCCCACATACCAAAAAAAAAAAAAAAAAAAGATCTTGCTGTGATTTATGTCAAAGAGTGTTCTGCCTATGTTTTCCTCTAAGAGTTTTATAGTGTCCAGTCTTACATTTAGGTCTTTAATTTATTTTGAGTTTATTTTTGTGTATGGTGTTAGGGAGTGTTCTAATTTCATTCTTTTATATGTAGCTGTCCAGTTTTCCCAGCACCACTTATTGAAGAGACTGTCTTTTCTCCACTGTATATCCTTGCCTCCTTTGTCATTGATTAGTTGACCATAGGTGCGTGGGTTGATCTTTGGGCTTTCTATCCTGTTCCATTGGTCTGTATTTCTGTTTTTGTGCCAGTACCATATTGTCTTGATTACTGTAGCTTTGTAGTATAGCCTGAAGTCAGAGAGTCTGATTCCTCCAGCTCCGTTTTTTTCCCTCAAGATTGCTTTGGCTTAGTCAGTGTAATTTTAAGCCTTCCACTTCACTCGCCAAGTTCATTGCCCTAGCCATAGGCAGCAGGCAGCCTTTCTGAGGGTTCAGTAGGGGTTTTCAAGATGGCAGGCTAATGAGTTTCTAAATAGCAGCCCTTAGGGCTGCAGTTGGATCTTTCACTAAGACGCAGACACTGCAGATCATTGAATAATAGAAACTACCTACTCTTGTCAGCCTCCTTGGGAGTTGATGTTCAGTTTTCGAAGAAGGTAAAAGAGTGGCTGTACCGTTTTGCTTTCTGGCCAGCAGTGTATGAGGGATCCAGGTTCTTGGCGTCCTCAACAGCATTTGGTGTGATCACTATTGTTTTTATTTTGCTTGTTCTTGCAGGTGTATAGTGATAACCCCATTTTGGTTTTAATTTGCACTTCCATAAGGGCTAATGATGTTGGGCATCTTTTCATATACTTATCTGCCATCGGTGTATCCGCTTCCTTGAATCCTGTCTTTCAGATTCAATCTATTTCCTAATTGGATTGTTTTTTTAATGTTGAGTTTTGAGAGGTTTTTGTTTTGTTTTGCGTTTTGTTTTGTTTTGTTGTCACCACGCAGCTTGTGGGATCTTAGTTCCTTGACCAGGGATTGAACCCTTGCCCTGGCAGTGAAAACGTGGAGTCCTAAGCACTGGACCACCAGGGAATTCCCGAGTTTTGAGAGTTTTTACTGTGTTCTAGATTCTAGTACTTTGTTGGCTGTCTTGTTTGCAAATATCTTCTCCCAGTCTGTAGACTCTTACTGGAGTCTTTCATGGAGCAAAAGCTCTAATTTTGATGAAGTCCGTCTCACCAGTTTCTCCTTTTATGGGTCATGCTTTCATACCATGTCTGAAAACTCTTTGCCTGGCCCTTGATCCTAGAGATTCTCTCCTGTGTTTTTTCCTACAGTTTTAATTCTACATTTTACATGACAGTCCATGATCCAGTTTGAGTTCATTTTTCTGTGAGGTACGAGACAGGTTTTGTCTCTTCCTTTCCAGTCTGTTGGCCTCTATTTCCTTTTCTTGCCTTCTCGCACTGGCCAGGAATTCTGGGACTTCGTTGGGTAGTTCCTGATCTTGGAGGAAAAGCATTCAGTCTTTTCACCACTAAGTATATGTTAGCTGTGGCTTTCATAGAGTATCAAGACAAGGAAGGTCCCCTCTGTTCCCATTTTTCTGAGTTGCTATCATGAATGGGTGTTGTGTTTCTGTATCAGTCAATATGATCATGTAGCTTTTCTCCTTTAGGCTGCTAATTTGTTGGATTACAGCGATGGGTGTTTGAATGTTGAACCAGTCTTACATTTTTGAAGTACTCCCCACTTGGTCATGCCGTGTCATTCTTTTTATATATTTGCAGAACTGGATTTGCTAGTATTTTGTTCGCATCTTCATGTCCGTGTTCGCAGGAGCTGTACTGAGTATCTTGGTGGGGTCCTCTTCTCCACACCTGTTTCACATTATGTTTTTTATTTCAGTTCCTGCCTTTGTCAGTTTCAGAAGTTCCATTTGCTTTCTTAAGTATTTCCTATTTCTCTGCTGAGACTTTCTGTATCTTTGCGTAGACTTTATGTTACGATGGCTGCCTTAAACTGTCAGATGACACTCACATCTCTGTCATCTTGGTACTGGCATCAACTTATTACCTTTTAAGTCACCTTGAGATCTTCCTGATTCTTGTTATGAGGAGAGATTCCCAACTGAAACCTGGGCATTGGCGGTATTATGAGGCTGTTCTTTATTCATATCTTCTTAGGCTGGCTTCTTGGACAGGGAGAGGTAGCACTGCCTCCTCACTCCCAGGTGGGAGTGGACGTCCAGGCTCCCCACTCGTCCTCCAGCCCGTTGACACCAAAGAAGGGCCCCCTGTTACCGCTGGGCAAGAGTGGGAGGTCCAGCTCGCCTGCGATCTGCTGGTGCTTCCACACGGGAGAATCCCCACATGGCTTCCTCTGCCACCATCAGTGCCCCTCAGGCTTTGCCCACATGGATGGAGGTGGGTCACAGTGTCTTCTGTGCTACGTAGCAGGGGCAGAATGGTTATTGTTTAAAAGTTTTCTGTCTTGCTAAGCCCCTTTGCTAGTTGTTTGGCCAGAGAGAGCAGACTTTTGTTGGGGCTTTGAAAGGAAATCTGCATCATTGGCATTTCAGCTTTAAATCTGGGATCTACAAGGCAAAATGAAGCCCCCAGGGACTCACCAGCATGGTGTTCCTTGGGTGTCAAGGTCCCTCAACAGTCTGCCGGCCGCTCTCCGCATTTCTGGGTCGTCTTGTGTTAGTTTTACATACGACGTCCAGGTTTTTTGTTGTTCTTAGCAGGGAGAATAGGAGAGAGTATTTCTATTCCATTTTCCCAAAAGCAGGAGCCCCAGCGCTTTTACAAGTCTTCTGAGACCGAGGCTCGAAAAAGTTGTGTCTGTGCAGAGTCATGAGGCGGGACTCCCCGAACGGACCAGAGCTGGGTGTCCAGACGTCCGGTCCACCAGCCTGCACACTCTGGTCTCCGTACCTCCCTGGCCACCTCCTCACCCAGCCTGTCTCCACGTCCCTCTGCCACCTCTTCCAGGAGGCCTTCCTGATGAGAGGTGTTCTGTGGTCTGATGGGTGTTCTGTGCCTGGGTGTGTATCGGCCTCCCTGGCTCTGTGTGAGCAGCGTTGCACTTTGGGTTATTATAGCAGGACTGGCGCTCTGCTTCTGGCCTCCTGTCTGCCCCCTCCGCCCATGCCCCCTCATCTTCTCATCACAGCCAGGGCGCTGTCAGATCAGGTCAGTCTGCTTCCTGAGCGGAGTCTGACTTTCCCAGCGTCTGCTCCAGCGTCTCCTTGGCATAAGCCCTGTGCCTGGACAGCAGCTCCTGGAAGCTCTCCTGTACCTGTTCATTCTGCCTAGAGGGACCTTTCCTGCCAACTCCTACTGGCCTTCCACACTTTGTCCACATTCACCCAAAACTGAATTAGTCCTTCTCTCCTCTGTTCTCCACGCATACCTTTTGCCTGCCTCCAGGGCGTGTTGAGTCATACTATGGCCCCTTCTTTCCTGGTCAGCCCCAAGGAGGAGACAAAGACGGCATGTGCGTTGGAGTTGGAATTGTCAGCTGGGATAGGATTAGGGGCTGCTTTAGTTGCGGGAGGACGAGTTTGGTCTCCTGGTTGTAGAATCGGGGCAGCAGCACCGCAAGTGAAGAGGCTCTCAGGTGCGCGGGAATGCTGTCCTCGCGAGGTGACGGCTGACGTTGTGGACTAGATGGGCTTGCCTGGGACCTGGGGAAAGGCCACACAGCAAGCAAGGACAGCACCTCGGGTGTTGATGGGAAGGGACCAGAGAGCAGCAAGAGAACCGGAAGGGGGACGGACGCCGTAGAGAGTTAGAGAAGGCAGGAGAGAAACGCGTGCGCCGCCTTGGCTGTGTTTGGAGAGCTGGGCATAAGTGACACTTTAAGCTGCTGCTCTTGGTAACTTTGCCACTTAGGCTTGTTGGGCAATCCTTCTGTTTTCCAGAGGACTCAGATCTGTGCTGCGTTTTGCACGTACAGGCTGGACAGGTTACCAATGTGAGAAACGAGGACTCAGCGTAGCTGCCCCAACGTTTATGAAGTTACTGAGCAGGAACGCCGGTACAGAACGCGGTGGAGGTCCAGTAGCAGTGAAAGCCGCGCGCTGACGTTTATCTTGTTATCGGGACACACCGGCCTCTTATTGGCGGGACGGGGAAGGATTGGTGACGACACCCAGACCCAGGCACCTGCTGGCCGCAGGCTTTGTGGTCATCAGACTCCCTTTCTCTGTCCTTGGACTTCTCCGTGCAGCAGAGGCCAGAGGCCTGGTGGCTTCTCACTTTGTGGGGCAGAGCGGGGCATTACCCACCCCAGTTACCTGCACCCTTCTGTCCCATGTTTGTTAGATTACGGTGGAGCCTCGTCTTAAGGCTGAACTTCCGAGTCCTTATTTACATGACCCCCTATCAGAACAGAAGCAAACACGTTGGGCTTCAGCTGCTTACTAGTGATGACCAGGCAAAGCTGAACACGCTTTGAACTTTACTCGGTTCTTAATAGCCTAGCCAACACTCTGAAGCACACTCACCCATACTCACTTCTAACCCTTGCCAATAGTATGCTGGGGCACCGTAGCCAGAGTAGGCACAGGGTGGTAGGCTTGGGAACAAAGGAAGGCAGCGGTGGCTCTTCTCAGCCATCAGACATTAGGAGGAGGCTGAAAGGGGTCTCTGCAGCCTTGTGCTTGTCTTTGGGGAGCCCTCACCTGATTTTAAGATAAGAACTTTGCAGTTGTATAGCTTCATTCAAAATGTTGTCTTTTTTGTACCTCTTGGGACTTAAGATTTTATTGAAGTGCCATCCTTAGCTGCTTTATGTTTTCTGTAAATAAATATTATAGAACTTGAGCTTTGACTTTTCATCATGTGTGTTTTCCTCCTCCACTTTCTTTGTGTCAGGTTGGATTTGGTCTAGGGAGTCCCGAAAAGAGATAGAAAAAGAGAGGGAAGCATACCATCAGAGAACAGCTGCCTTCCAGCGGGACCTCGAAGCCAAGTACCGTGCCACGATCTCAGAAAGTCGGCGGGCCGTGGCACAGTTGTCCCTGGAACTTGAAAAGGAACAAAACAGAACGACTAGCTACCGAGAAGCCCTCATCTCTCAGGGGCGCAAGATGGTAGAAGAGAAGAAGCTTCTGGAACAGGAGCGGGCTCGGGCCCTGCAGGAGAAGGGGCAGCCCTTGCGGAGCGCGTACCTGAGCTACCTGGGCAAGGAGGAGGAGTGGCAGCGGAGGGCCAGGCTTCTGCTGAGAGACTTCGAGGACGCTCTGACAGAAAGACAGAGCGTCTACTGCAGTCTGCTTCTCCCTCGCCACAAGCGGCTGGAGATCGAGAAGAGCCTGCTGGGCCGAGCGTCCACCGACCCAGTTGCTGCTGACCTAGAGATGGCAGCTGGCCTGACCGACATATTCAAGCACGACACATACTGTGGTGACATCTGGAACACCAACAAGCGCCGAAACGGGAGGCTTATGTGGCTGTATCTCAGATATTGGGAACTACTGGTCGAGCTGAAAAAGTTTAAGAGCGTAGAGAGAGCCATACTGGAAAAGTAAGACGGGGGTGAATGGCTCAGCGTCAGACTGTTGTGTGTTCTGGGTTATCCGATGCTTTCCTTCTGCCAGCGCTCCCTGTGTTGTGGCCACGCATGCACAGCCACCTCTCAGCAGCGGCCTTCCACTCCCAGCACCCTCCGAGCAGGATGGCGAGGCCTCAGGAGACTCTCCGTCCCCCTCGGCGGCTAAGGACTCAGTCTCTCAGAAGCGTGTTTTAAGCCGTCAATATTTTATTCAGCGGAACAGGGTAACCCCATAGCTTTAGGGAAAAATGGTTTCTAAGAATGTGAAATATAATATTCATCCTTACTGTAAGTCGTTTTTTTGTCTGTTTTCATCACTCCCTAAATAAACTCTTTTTTCTCCTCAAATTATTGTTCTCTCTCCTAAAATTACAGTTAGAAGTTGTCAGGTAGTGGATAGGACTGCCTAATAGATGAGAAAGGAAGGTAGCGACACCGTCAAGGTTTTGTGGTGTTTTGAAGCTCTTTCCCGCCAAAGGGGAAAAAGTGTTTCTTATTTCCAGTTGATACCCTTGTGTGTGTTTATAAGCAATGACATATAATTAAAACACCTCAATTTAAAAGCAACAGTGCTGCTTTTTATGTGTGTCATTCCGTACTCTTTACATTTTTAAATAGATTATCTCAATTTTTACTGCAAACTTAGACCCATTTTCCATAAAGTTAATATGACTCGGCCTTTGCGCGCCTTACGCATGTCACTCACGTCATCCTGACCCTAGTGCTGTGCCCTGAGCACTGTTCTTACCCTTGGGCTCCGAGTCCCCAAGGCCACCCCACACTTGCTCAGGACTCAGCACATGGTTGTACTCACAGCTGAGACTCGTCGTATAGAAAGGATACAAGGCAAGGTTAGTAAAGGGACAGGCACATGGGCAACGGGGGGAGACCAGGTGCAGCTTCCAGTTCCCTCCCAGGGGTCACACGGCCATGCGGACGCTCTTCAGAAACAGCGTCCGGGGTTTCTGCAGAGGGCCGGTCACACAGGCACCCTCTGCCTGGCACAGACCCAAATTCCAAACTCCCAGAGGAAGGCAGGTGTCCAAGCTGTTGGCAGGGTTTGGTCGCAGTGATCCACTCTTACCAGTTGATGGTGGAGGGAACCCTCCCAAATCCAGGTCCCAGATGCCAGCCGAGGGCCGACCTGTCAGCAGGCCTCTCAGGCCCACGGTCTCAGGCCTGTGGTGTGAGCCCTTCTCTGCAGCCCTCATTCTACAGGTGAGGGGTGGGAAGTCAACCTGCCCGAGGTCGCACAGGTGGTCCTGGAGCTAGTATGAACCCAGGCAGCTTGGCTTCAGAATTGCCCTGATCCATGTGAAACCAGGTCCTTTTCGAATGACTGAGCGGGTTTTTCCGGGCTGATGCCTAAAGCGCTGTTCCCCGCCTGGCGTACGACAAAAATAGCTGTCCTGCTTCCCTAGACATCAGGGCTTTGGTGGCAGACAACAGGGCTCAGTTCTGCTAGCTTACACAGCTAAGGGGGCATTTGTTTTAAGGCTACCTTGTGGAACCTCAGGGCAAGGATGGAGAGTGATGGCTGGACCTCAGAGGAGAGCCAGAAATGGCTAGAAACCAACACTGGGAAGCTTGCAGTAATGACCTTCTGGCCTCAGATCTCTGCATGTCTGTTTAATCTTCTCTCCCTGCAAACCAGCTTTCTCTCCCCGGGCCCCATGGTGAGAACAGCTGCCTTGTTCTACTCCCGTGTGTGGCAAAGCCTGGGAACCACTGGGTTGTGCTGTGCCGTGGCTTGTGAGCGCAGTGGGAGCAGAGAACCAAGAAAGCGGGGCTCAAACGCCAGCCACTGGCTCGGGCAGCTCCGAAGGAGGCGGCAGGCCCTTCAGCAGATCGAGGATTTGCGCTCACCCGTGGGATTGCCAGCGGCTGGTGGAGAGAGAAGGGGATTCCTGGGATCTAGTGGGTGGCAGCTGATGAGAGAGGGAGGTGCAGGCTGACGTCTCCGGGTCTCTGGACACGGCCACTGCACAGAGGGTCTGCTGGGCCTGCAGGTGTCTCCTAGTCTGAGTATGTAATTGGAAAGAACCGTCTGGAACAAGAGTTGCTAAGGTAGGAAAGAGAAGTGGACGTCCCTGAATCTGCATCTCCTCCTTGCCAGGATGGTCAACAGGAAGCACTGCTGAATTCCTGGAGGAAGTGCAATGATAAGTCCACCACAGGGGACGAGGGGAGGCGAAGACGGTGGTCCCAGGGTGTCCATCACGGTGGCCATCGTGTCCCCGTTCAGTGCGACTGTCTGGCCCCCGGGAAGACCAGGTGGGTTTGTACAGTTGATAGCCCGCTCGGGCTCACCGGGAGGAGCCCAGTCGAGTTTGCCGTGTGGCATATTCACGCCCTCCTGGCCCTTGGCACTCTGTTCTGCTCTTCACCTGCTGAGCGTGTTTCCTTTTCCCAGTTTGTCTTTGCATGGGAGCCACGCCGTCTGCAGCACGAGAAGCACAGGAACGCTCCTGGGCCCTGACAGACACCCACGACCGCATTCGCAGCCAACGTCACCTTGGGCATCCTCAGGGCCACCAGTCTCGGGCTGGGCAGGTACAGGTAAAACCCATCGTGGCTGCAAGTGGCACATTCAGTGTTGGGGCTGAGCGGGTCCACAGGAACAAGTGAATTACATGCACTGGGGTGAGTGGGAGGCGTGGTCCCACTTGGGCTGCTCCGTGTGCCTCAGAATTGCTCCGACGAGCCTCCCAGCCTCTCCAGCTTCACAAGAATGGGTTATTCTTCAGCGTGGGGCAGGGGCTGTCAGGGACATTCCCCACTAGTAGACACCTGTGTGCCCAGCCCTGCCCCAAATTTCAGGTCCTGGGTCACCGCAGCATCCCTGGGCTCTTCTCCACCACAGCTGCTGGGCCCAGCCATGCCCATGCTGGGTCCTACCTGCTGACCACCCAGAGGCTGGGTCTCATCAAGAAAATTCCACAGACACAAACAGCAGAAGCTACTCTACTCTTTAGAGTTAAAATCAAATCATTTCAAAATTTTGCCCTGTGCCTACTCTCTTTCCAAGAGCTTCTTGCAATAGCAAAGTCCATGTGGCTGAAACAGGGTTCCAGCATAACACAGCTAAGGAGATACACAGAGGTGAGCAAAGAAGGCAGAGCCCAAGAGCACAGGGAGGTAGAAGCCACCACGTCCCTCCTTGCTCCTGCCCACCTGGTGGCGTCTCTCCTCTCCTGAAGGCCCAGTAGGAAGGTTACTGCCTTCCTCAGCAGGCAGATCCTGAGAGGACTCTCACTCCATTGTGGGGGGAAAGACATGGGCCATACCTGGGGGAGGGGGTGGCACAGGAGCACCTGCAACAGGGACGTACCTGCGGAGATGGCAGCATGGAGTTGGACCTGAGGGCAAAGCCCACTCACGGTGTGATTCAAACCCCCACTGACCACTTGGGTGGTTCTAGTGTGAGGAGCATTTGGCCACATCAAGCAGTAGCCACTCTCTTGAGAAAATGTTTTCTTTTCAGACACTTATGTCCTTTTTAAAATTCTGAATTGCATTAAAATGTCATTTGAGTAATCAAAAACCTTCCAACAAACAAAAGTCCAGGACCAGATGGCATCACTGGTGAATTCTACCAAACATTCAAAGAAGAATTAATACCAATCCTTCTCAAACTCCCAAAAGAGAGAAGAGGGAGTTTTCCAAACTCATTTTACGAGGTCTGCATTACCCTGATACCAAAACCAGATAAAGATGCCAAAAGAAAAGACAATTACAGGCCAATATCCCTGATGAACACAGATGCAAAAATCCTCAACAAGATATTAGCAAACCAAATTCAACAATACATTAAAAGCATCATATACCATGAGCAAGTGAGATTTATCCCAGGGATGCAAGGATGGCTCAATACCACAAATCAGTCAATGTGATATACAACATTAACAAATTGAAGAATTTGAAAATCGTATGATCGCTTCAGTGAATGCAGAAAAGTCATTTGGCAAAATTCAACACCCATTTATAATAAAAACTCACGACAAAGTGGGTATAGAGGGAACGTACCTCAACATAGTAAAGGGCATATATGACAAGCCCCGAGCTAACATCACACTCAACAGTGAAAAGTGGAAAGCATCTCCTCTTAAGATCAGGAATAAGACAAGGATGCCCACTCTCACCACTTTTATTCAACAGCATTGGAATTCCTAGCCACAGCAATCAGAAAAGAAAAAGAAATAAAAGGAATCCAAATTGGAAAGGAAGAAGTAAAACTGTCACTATTTGCAGATGACAATACTATATACAGAAAACTCTAAGGACTCCATCAAAAAACTTAGAACTAATAAATTTAGTAAAGTTGCAGGATACAAAATGAATACACAAAAATCTGTTGCATTTCTATACACTAATAATGAAATATCAGAAAGAGAAATTAAGAAAACAATCCCATTTACAACTGCATCAAAAATTCTGAATAAATTTAACCAAGGAGATGAAAGACCTGTATGTTGAAAAGTACAAGACATTAATGAAACAAACTGAAGAAGACACAAGTAAGTGGAAAGTCATTCCGTGCTCATGGATTGTTAGAATTAATATTGTGAAAATGTCCATCCTACCCAAAGCAATATACAGAGTCAATGCAATCCCTATCAAAATTCTAATGGCATATTTCACAAAAATAGAACAAAAAAATCCTAAAATTTGTATGGAACCATAAAAGACCCTGAATGGCCAAAGCAATCTTGAGAAAGAAGAACAAAGCTGGAGGGCTTCCCTGGTGGCGCAGTAGTTGGGAGTCCGCCTGCCGATGCAGGGGACGCGGGTTCGTGCCCCGGTCCGGGAAGATCCCACATGCCACGGAGCAGCTGGGCCCGTGCGCCGTGGCCGCTGAGCCTGCGCGTCCGGAGCCTGTGCTCCACAATGGGAGAGGCCACGGCAGTGAGAGGCCCGCGGACTGCAAAAACAAAAACGAAACAAAAACAAAACAAACAAAAAAGAACAAAGCTGGAGGCATCACATTCCCTGATTTCAAACTATATTACAAAGCAGTAGTCATTAAAACATTATGGTACTGGCATAAAAACAGACACATAGATCAATGGAACAGAATAGAGAACCCAGAAATAAATCCATGCATAGATGGTCAATTAATTTACGGCAAAGGAGCCAAGAATATACCATGGGGAAAGGATCCTCTCGTCTATAAATGGTACTAGAAAAACTGGACAGCCACATGCAAAAGGATGAAACCGGGCCACTATCTTATAACACACATAAAAAGTTAACTCAAAAATGGGGCTTCCCTGGTGGCGCAGTGGTTGAGAGTCCGCCTGCCGATGCAGGGGACACAAGTTCGTGCCCCAGTCCAGGAAGATCCCACATGCCATGGAGCGGCTGGGCCCGTGAGCCATGGCCGCTGAGCCTGCGCGTCTGGAGCCTGTGCTCCGCAACGGGAGAGGCCACAACAGTGAGAGGGCCGTGTACCGCAAAAAAAAAAAAAAATTAAAATGGATTAAAGACTTGGACGTTAAGACCTAGAAGAAAACATAGGTGGTAAACTCCCTGACATCAGTCTTGGCAATGGTTTTTTAAAAATCTGACACCAAAAGCAAAAGCAACAAAAGCAAAAATAAACAAGTGGGACTACATCAAACTGAAAAGATTCTGCATGGCAAACAAAGTCATAAAACAAAAAAAAGGCAAACTACAGAATGAGAGAAAATACTTGCAAATCATATATCTGATAAGGGGCTAGTATCCAAAATATATAAAGAACTCATACAACTCAACTGCAAAAAAATAAAAAATTCAATTAGGAAGTGGGCAGAATCTCTGAAGAGACATGAAAAGATGCTCAACATCATTAATCGTCAGAGAAATGCAAATCAAATCCACAAAGAGATATCACTTCACACATGTCAGAATGGCTATTATCAAAAAGACAAGAGATAAGTGTTGGCAAGGAAGTGAAGAAAAGGGAAACTTTGTACACTGTTGGTGGGAATGTAAATTGGTGCAGCCACTGTGGAAATCAGTATGGAGGTTCCTCAAAAATCAAAATTAGAACTACCATAGGGTTCAGCAATTCTACTTCTGGGTGTTTATCTGAAGAAAATGAAAACACTAATTCAAAAAGATATCTGCCCTCCCATGTTTATTGCAGCATTATTTACAATAGCCAAGATATGGGCAACCTAAGTGCCCATCAGTAGATGAATGGATAAGGAAGATGTGGTGTATGTGTACAATGGAATACTATTCAGCCATAAAAAGAATGAAAGTCTGCCATTTGTGACAACATGGATGGACCTGGAGAGCATTATGCTAAGTGAAGTAAGTCAGAGAAATACAAATACCATATGATCTCACTCATATGTGGAATATATATCTCCAAGTTAATAGATGCAGAGAACAGATTAGAACCAGAGGTGGGGCGGGGGGGGGGGAACTGTCTGTGGGGGGAAGGGAGAAGTGGGTGAACTGTTTTTGTTTTTGTAAATAAATGAAATTATTTAAAAAAATAATACAAGTGGGCAACAAGCATATGAAGACATGCCCAGGGACTTCCCTGGTGATGCAGTGGTTAAGAATCCGCCTGCCAATGCAGGGGACACAGGTTCGAGCCCTGGTCCTGGAAGATCCCACGTGCCACGGAGCCACTAAGCCCGTGCACCGCAACTACTGGGCCTGTGCTCTATAGCCTGTGCGCCACAACTACTGAGCCCACGTCCTGCAACTACTGAAGCCCGCGCGCCTAGAGCCCGTGCTCCGCAAGAAGCCACCGCGATGAGAAGCCCGCGCACCGCAATGAACAGTAGCCCCCACTCGCCGCAACTAGTGAAGACCCAACGCAGCCAAATAAATTTATAAAAAAAAGAAAAAGAAAAAGACATGCCCAGTTTCATGAACATCTGGGAAACACAAATTAATGCAAGACATTTTTTTCGTCCATTAGATTGAAAAAGAAAGAAAACCACATCTGAATAAGCCACAATTTATTCGTATTTAATTACCCTAATATCAGCACTGCACAAATCAGATCTCAGCAGAAACCAAGTCCAGACGTTGGCATTAACCACTCCTCAAGCACCAGGACTCAGACAGCGGGGGAGCCTTCCCGCCCTCCCCGCAGCAGGAGCCCCCGCCCGCCGGGCCTAGAGTCGGTGGAGGTGGGAGTGGGGGCGGCGGCGGGCGGGGCACCGCGGTCGTGCCCTCAGAGCCAGAGGCCGCCGGAGCCCGGGGCTCAGCCTGGCACCGGCAGAGCGCACGCCTGCCGCCCAGTGGCCCGAGGGCAGGGTCAGAGCCGTCAACTACCAAAGCCCATGTCCTCGCTGGACGGGAGTTTGTAAACATCCAGACAGGGCAGCGCCGCACACCCGTGACGGGAGGGCGCCGGGCCGGCTCCCTGCACCCCTGGACCCAGCCCCTGCGGCAAGGGATGCGGCTTGCCCTCGGTTTTACTCTCTCCTCAGCTGCTCGCTTTCATCGCTGTGCCCCGGGAGGTGTCCTCTCACTTCCTCCCCCGCTCACGCCGGCCGGTCGTCCAGCCGCCCCGCCCCCGCCCCGCCCCCTGCGGCCCGCACTTCACGCGGCTGCCGAGGCGCCGTGATCAGGACGGCAGCCCGCCGCGGGCTGCTTCTCTGGCGCCACCGCCTGCTGGGCGCTGGGCGCCGTCACAGCTCCTGGGAGGCAGGGCCGTCGCTCCCGGAGCGCCTGAGGGATGCGCGTGCAGCTGCCACTAGGAGATGCGTCGGTGGTGGCGGGGGCGGAGGCTCCGCCCCAGCGCCGCCGCCGGGACCCGCCTCGTGCAGTCCAGGGCCTACTCCATTTGCTTCAGCGCTCTGGAGAAGTTTTCCAGGGCAGTTTTGAAGGCTTGCAGCAAGAGCGTTCCGAGTTCATTGCTCGTTTCTTGAATGTCCGGGTCGAAGCTTCCGAAGAGGGGCGTGGAGAGCCGGATGTCGTCGCGGCCGGCCCGCAGCAGCAGCGCGCGCAGGTCCTCTGCGATCGCGCTGTATTTCTGCTGGTCGAATTTGGACATGGCCAGCTCGTCCTGTGGGTAGGCGCTGCCCTCGGGGTAGCAGTCCCTGGGCACCGGGAACTCCACGCTCTGCAACCGGGGGAGCCCACAGAGCGCCACGAAGAGGCGCCGGAGCGCGCGGGCCGACATTGGGTTCCCCAGGAAGCGGAGCTCCTGCAGCCGGCGGCAGGGGCCCAGGGCCAGGCTCAGCGCGCCCACGTGCCGGTCCGCGAGGCCGCACTCCTCCAGGGTCAGGGCCCTCAGCGTCGGGGCGGCCTGGCCCAGCAGCCGGAAGAAGGTCGAGGGGAACAGGTCCACCAGGCAGTGCCCGCTGAGGTCCAGCACCTCCAGGTGGGCGGCGTGGGTGCAGTTCGCCAAGAAGGCCATGTCCGCATGGTTCAGGGCGCAGTTGCCCAGGTCCAGCACTCTCAGCGGAGTCCGGAGGGGGCTGCGGGCAGGGCAGGAAACAGCGCGGTGAGAGCAGGCCCGGCAGGTGCTCTGGGGGCCACACACACCCTCCCTTGATTGCATTCAGCCTGAGAGCTGAAATGGGTTTTACCTTTTTAAGTAGTCAAACAAGTCAAAAGAAGAAGAATATTTTGTGACACGTGAGAATTATATGAAATTCAGGTTTCAGTGCGGGTAAGTAAAGCGTAATCAGAACAGCTGCGACCTTCATTTACTTCCCGTTTGTGGCTGCCCCGGGGCAACGGCAGAGCTGGGTCAGTGTGAGACCATGCGTAGCCAAGGCCCCGTGAAGACTTAACTTCACCCAAAGACAGGCCTGGCCTTTGTCCTCAGCAATTAAAGTGATCAATCTGTTTTGTCCACAAGGCGTTGTGTGTTCACAAGCTTGCTGAGGGGGCAGTGAGTTGCCTGTGGATTGGCAGGAAGTGAAACACTGGCTTGGCTCTGCAAGAAGAGCCTGAGCCCACAGGATCAGGGCTGGGAGGGCCCTTGGAGCATCCAGTCCACCCTCAGCACTGCCTGGGACCTCAGAGACCCTCCGTGCTCTCCTGTAGGTGTGTAGGCGGCGGCCATGCGGAAACGCACAGTCGGTGGCTCCCTGCCCAGAAGTTCTCAGAGTCGGGAACAGACCCATAGTGGCCCTCCGGGATCCTGGGCCTGGGTCTGGGGTCACCTGGCTGCGCACTGAGTGCCGGGGCCGGGGGCGGTGGGGTCCGCTCTCTATTCGCCTGCTGAGGCTGCCGCTCCCACCACCTCCTGCGCCCGTACTCTGGCCGCTGAGTGTCGCGGGCGCACCTGCCGCCTGCACAGTCCACCCCGCAGCGGGCTCTGTGCCTCCTTGCCCGGCTCTGAGGAGGCTGTGGCTCGGGCCCTGGGCTGTGGGGCGTGTTTCCACCTCCATCTCTCACACCCACATCCATCCATGAGGGACCCTCTCCCCACCTGCACTGCTCGCAACCCCTCGGGGGGCCTCCTGTGTGGACAAGGGTCAGAGGACAGGCCTGACTGCGAACCGCGTCTGGGAGCTTGGATTTGGGGAGGGTGCCTCACTCAGCTGATAAGGGGTCCCTGGCCTGAGCTCTCTGCACAAGCAACGTGGTCCCTGCTGACACCTGCCTCCTCTGGGGTCTGGAATCTCGGCACATGCCAGGCTGAGGCGCCCACCCAACCAGCCCCCAGGAAAACCCCTGGCCTGGGTCTCTCATGCACTCCCCAGTGGACGGCACCTCCCACGTGCCATCACAGTCTGTGCTGGCTCCACTGCGACAGGACCCTGGACTCGTGCCCCGTCTCCCCGAACCCCTCCCCACAAGCCCTTTCCCTTGGCAGATTCTGCCCCGTCCGTCTGCTGTAATAAATCTTAGCAGTGAGTCCTCCCAGGGAGTCAGCAAACCTGGGTGGTCTCGGCGTGTCTGCTCTGTCTGCCACTCTCCCTGCCCCTCCATCTGGGTCTGCTGTGTGGGCCAGGGAAGCCAGAGTGAGCCCTGTAATATGAAGCTGATCACCCACTGCCCTGCTCAGAGGCCTGGCTCTTCCGTCCTTCTCCTCCTCTCCCTGCTCCCTTCTTCACCTGCCCAGGACCACAGCCCCCGTCCCCGCTGCCCCAGCCCCGCCCCACCCCATCCCTGCCTACGGCCCTGCCACACCCCCAGCTCCGGGCAGCCCCGCCCCGCCCCACCCCTGCCTACGGCCCTGCCACACCCCCAGCTCCTGCCCTTCACCTGCGGGGTTCCTGCCTAGCACACGCTCTCTGGGCCCTCCGCTGGCTCACTGTGCCTGGTCTCCGCTCAAAGGTCACCTTGGGACCTAGCCTTCCCTGACCACTCACCCATCTCCCTCCCACTTAGCCCTGACACACTCCACGCCTGGACCTCCTGGGGCCTTGGACAGGCTCTCAGCAACCAGCTGACTGAAGACCGAGCGTGTAGAACAGGTCAGAGTGTGACAGGCGATGTCAGGGCCGAGCTAACAAGATAGCCCTGCAGGCTTGTGACGTGTCGTCTGGCTTGTGGAACACGTTTCCCCAGAGCACAGGCACCTCTGGCTGAGGGCCCAGGCCAGCCAAACGCAGCACTGTCCTGAGGGTCCCAGGGAGCCGCCACATGGCAGAGTCGTATTTGTGTGTGGGCTCGAGGAACACCCCTTCCCGAATTGGGCGACTGGGTTCCAGCGGGGGAGGAGCAGGGATGGGGGACGGCGACGGGATCCCATGTGCACCCCAGGGGAGGAGAGGCAGTGTGGGCCCTGGCCAGCTGCGGCCAGCTACTTCTGGGTTTCCTTTGTATAGAAGAGAAATTCCTGTAAGCCACGGACTCCCTAAGCCAGAAGAGACATCCTTACACCCACTCAATGAGAAATGAGAAGAAATGAGAAATTTGATTCTCATCAAATTTCTCTTCTCAAGAAATGAGAAGTTTGATTTTCCATAAATTTTTATGAGTATATTCACAGCTGGTGGCCGCCAAGGTGGCCCAACGGCCCTTGGGTATTGGGACCCTCGGTGGTGCCTCCCGTGGCCCAGTGACGGGCCCTCACCATGCAGTGTGCCGAAGCATCCGCACAGTGCTCTCCAGGGAAGGTCACGGGAGGCAGGCCTCCCTCCGGAGGGCCTCTGGCCCTCTGATCCGCAGCCTGTTGGGGGGCCCACGGGCCGAGCAGCTGAGGCCGCCTGCCGACAGCCATGAGAATGAGCGTGCAAGTGGGTGACTCTGCTTTCCCGCCCCGACAAGCCTTCAGGGGAGACCACAGCTGCCCCCACCCGGCTCCTGTCTTGCCCTCGTAAGCCCCAGCACTGGGGTAATTTGTTACAATGACAGGTAATTAATACAATGTAATGGAGTTACTTCTATGTTGTTTGCTTGCTAATGAAGACTCTTCTCTTTTTCTTACGAACTGGAGGCGGTCTCCTTTGGGTTCTGGTGCTCCCAGGTTGCACCCGACACCAGCCCCAGCTGGGCCACCTCCCCCTCCATCTGTCCCCTCCGGCTGCTCTGGGCTGGGCAAAAACCGAGGGGACGGGGGCTCGTGGCCTTGTAAGTAACCAGGTCTGTTTTACGGTCCCCTAGTGCGTCCTCAGCCCGGGCCCCGAGTCGCCCTGACCTGGGCTGAGGGGCTGTGAGCAGATGCCCTCCCCCCGCCGCCCTCCTTCTGCTCACCCTAGACTCACCCGAGCAGTTTCTGGAGCTTCCCGGTCAGCGTGGAGAAGGCCACGCTCAACTCGGTGAGCTGCGTCATCCGGCTGAGCTCCCGGGCGATGGAGGTGAGCAGGGTGTCCTCGCCGTCAGGGGCGGGGGTGCTGGTAGGGGGCGCGTCGAAGGCCTTGGCGGGCAGGGTGAGCGACACCAGCCGGGGGAAGCCCAGCTGGGCCAGCAGCTGCTGCACGTGGCCGGCGTGCAGACGCACGTTGTGCACCACCTCCAGCCGGCGCAGCTCGCCCGGCCCCGCCAGACGCAGCACGTGCAGCAGCTGCCCGGGGCCCAGGCTGTCGGCCCGGAAGGAGAGGCAGCGCACGCGCAGTGGGGCGGGACCCTCTGGCCCCAGGGCCCGCACCACCAAGTCGAAGTTACCCCCGGTGACGAAGATATCGGCGAGGACCTCTACGGGGCGCCGGGCCGCACGGGGCTCCGCCTGCAGCTCGCAGCAGGTCCTGGCCAGCAGCTTGGTGCGGCCCCACCTGCCCAGCGCCCTCCCACAGGGACAGCCCTGCACCTGCACGTCTCGGATGCCCGTGAGGTCGGCCACCCGCAGACGCCGCCGGCCCCCGCCCCAGAGCGTGTGGTCCGCGAGGCCGCGCACGCAGGCCTCCAGGCAGGCCCTGCAGGCCCGGTCCCGCAGGTCCCCGGGGTGGTCTGCGCTGGGGCCCAGCAGAGCACCCAGCCGGAACTCCTCCAGCGGCCAGCGCTCCAGCAGAACGCGGATCACCTCCGCCTGCTCCAGCAAGTAGCTGGCTTTGAAGAGCAGCGGGTAGAGGTTGTGGGCCACGCCGTCCAGGCTCTGCCGGGCCACCTGGGGGTGGGACGCCAAGGCCTCAGCAGAAATGAAGCGTAGTGACTGCATCATGCCCACCTGCAGCGGCTGGAGCCGGGACAGCGCTCTCCCCTGTGCTTCTCCCAAAGACGCGTCCCCTTCTCGCCTGTTTTTAGTTGCAGCTGCTGTGAGCAGCTTGCCTTGGACTGTGGTGAGCCAGCCCTCTGGTCATCTGACGGCTATTTTCGTCCTGGGTGCCTGTTTGGCTTTGGCTGTGGAGGCGTCTGGTGGTGGCCGGCTTGTCCTGCTGGCGCTCAGCTGAGGAAAGCAGAGCTGCCTGAGTGCTTGGCTAGGGGGAGGGGGCTGGGCCCCTGGAATTACCGCCGTGTCCACTGCAGGGGTGGCCTGTCCTGGGGGTACCTCATCCCCTCCATGGCGTGGGTCTGCCCCAACCCTGGGCCACCCCACAGTCCGGGGAACTAACAAACCTTTTCTTGGACCCCTGGGAGCCGAGTCCCTCCCTTTGCCCCACGTCCAGAGTTAGGGACGCGGCAGTGGGCATGGGGTGGCACCTCTGATAACTGTTTCCTGACTTTAAGAGAAGATAAATAAAGGCCCCATGAGGCGCCGGCACACTGCTTGGCAACCCCCTTCCTTTATCGTCACTGAGGACCGCGGCCGAGGCTTCCCCACCGTCCATGGGAGGGAGCTTGGCGCCCTCCAGCTGCAGGCCTCCCTGGGCTGAGCCCCAGGATCCACGCAGTGGGCGGGGCTGCAGGTGACGTGCGGGGGGGGGGGGCCCAGGAGCGGGAAGCTCGCTCGCAGAGCCTGGTGTCTGGTTCCTCGCTCTGGAGGGTGGCAGAGCATGTGCCCCAGACCACGCCGCTTTGGCTGAAGGAGTATTTTGAGCTAAGGGCGGTTGGAACCCCCCCGCCCCCGCCCCCCGCCACCTTTCTTCCTGAACGGAGATGGAATTCCGAGCAAGCCACCCTCCCTGAACCGGGAGGGGAGACATTCTCATCACCGGAGAGGGCGTCAGGATAGTTCACTGTCAAAGTTACTGTCCTGTGTGTTGTAGTTACTTTTCCACAATCAATCACCTCCTCGCTCAACTTAGTCCAGAAACACTTGGGCCACCGGGGTCTTCGTTTCCTTATGACGGCTCCCATGTCATCAAAAACTTATATTCAGTAAATCTGCGTGCTTTTCTCTCATGAGTCTGTTCTTTGTTACAGAGCCCCAGAAGAGAACCCAAGATGGACAGAGAAAAATTCTTCCTCCCTCCAGCTCCAGCTCTGACGGGTGTTTGATCATCTCTGAATGACTTGACCGCCCCCCCACCCCCATATCACCATCACTGGGGGCAGGGCTGGAGCACTTAGCCTGACAGGCTACCCGGACAAGCGCTGGTCTGGGAGGGACCTCAGTGGGACAGAGAGAGAGACCGAGACAGTCTGATAGGGAAAGACAGAGAGACAGAGACCCACAAAGACAGAGATCAAGAGAGGGAGGAGGGGAGAGGCAGACAGAGGCACTAGGAGGGAGAAGAGTCAGGGGCCAGGGGACATGCTGGGTTGTATGTAGGGCTGTGGATATGGACGTGGGTGCAGGGGGTGCAGGTGCCGCTCATGGGGTCCCACACGGGCCGGACCCCCCAGACCCCCCAACCCTACACTCAGGTGGGACCCTCTGTCATACACAGTCCTGCTTGCTGTTCCCTCAGAGCCTCAGCAGTGCCTCCCCTAGGGAGGGGGCGGCATCGTGCTCCGGGGGCCCCAGCGTTGCCAGGCAGGCCAGGTGTGAGCGGAGACGGCGGGGACCTCCCCCTGCCCTCACCCCCGATGGGAGGCAAGGACGTGCACCAGGCAGACCCCAGAGGGCGCTCTGCTGCCCACGCCCTGCCCCCTCAAAGTCGCAGGGGCTGCGCTCCCTAGGGGAGGCTTGTTGGTGACGTCCCTGACACAACAGAACCCCGTAGAAGAAGCACGACCATGTGGTAGAAAAACATGTCCCATTTATTTATGTTCCTAAAGTTTGGAACAGTCAGCCCTGAAACAGGGTAACAAGGAAGAGAGTTTACAGCAGCCGGCAGATCACAAAGGCGAGGGCCGTGCCCCAGCCACCTGCTCCTGTTCTGGGTGGATGGCAGCTGATGTCGCCGCTGCCCCAGGACGGGGTCTGGGGGGAGCACCTGTGGCAGGAAGTGCGCTGAGTTCTGCATCTACCCAGGCTCTCCACCCTTGGGTGAGGGGGGCCCTCTCAGGGCCCCATCCACACGACAGGACCTCCCAGCACAGGCTGGATCAGAGCTTCCGGCCCAGCTGCTGTGCCCCCAACTCCACCTGGGGTCCACCTGGGACGCAGGGACCCTTGTCCCAGACTCACAGGTGGAGCCCAACTCGAGTGCCGCTGGCCACACACAGCTTGTTGAAAAGAAAACGAAACCGAGATTCCAGCTAAACTCAGGAAAGCTCCCCCTGCGTCCGGGACGCACCCCGTGGGGGCTGCACCTGGGGACTGCCGTCCATGGCCTGCATCGCCTGGAAGGCGGGGGAACACGCTCCCAGAGGGCCCCCTGCTCTGAGACACCCCACGTCCATCGTGGGACTCTGCTCGGGGGTCCACGTGCTCCTACCCGGGCCTCTTGCAGCCTAGGAGTGTGGGAGCGTCCAGGGCATCACGGGGCGTCTTTGTAGGCAGGACAGCGGGGGGCCCATGACGTGATGCCCAGGCCCCGAGGGGTGTGCTGACTGGTGGCCCTGTGCCTGGCGGAGGACGTGGTCAGGAGCCTTGGCTTGAGTGTCTCCTTCCCAGACCTCGTGACCTGCTGTGCACACGTCAGGGTCGAGGTTCCTCTGCTCTGAGGGGGGTTCTCCCTGAGGGGCCACATCTCATCCAGATGCATCACAGCTGCCAAAAGAAGGACCTCTCTTACTCAGGTCCCCTCCTCCCCCAAGGTGCTCTCGGACTCGGGACGTGCATCTTCTGAAGAAGCAATTGGGGCCCAGCAAGGCCAGGGATAGGGCCCCAGAAACGAGTGCGTCCTCTAAGGCTGACACCCACAGGTCTGGGCGAGTGAGTGAGCAGTGTGGCGGCTGCAGCCTCAGCCGGCATCCCTGGGCGTCCGAGTCCCAGGGTAAAAAGGTTCGGGCCCTGCAACGTGTCAGTTCAGTGTTCGCCGTTCTGACCCAGCACGTGAGTGTGAGTGTGCGTGTCTGCCCACGTGTCCCGCAAGCAGCGACGGTGTGAATGGGAGCACTTGGACAACTTCGCATGTGGTTTGTGGGAAACAGTCTACTTGACAGGCACAAGGAATCCGCCTTTACCGGCAGACCTTTAATCAGATCTGGGCGCACGTTCGCAGCTGCAGGCCCTCAGTGCAGCCCAGCGCGGGAGCGGAGGGAGGGGCTGTGGGACAGGCGGGCCCCTGCCTGGGACGGTCTCCTGGCGCCCTTCACAGACCCCCAAGACGCCCAGGCTCTGAGACCTCAGTGGAGGAAGTGGCCTCACAGATGAGGACCCTGCAGGGCCTCTTCCTAGAGACGGCGTGTGTCCCGCGGCTCCCACCCAGGGCGGTGCCGCACACGGCGCGCGGGGTGTGTGGGGCGCGTGCGGGCTGTGGTGCACGCAGGGGACTCCCCCGCTGAGTCGGGCATGGGGAGGAGTGACAGTGCCAGCTGCACCGTCTGGCGAGCAGGGCGGGAGCCTCCTCTCGGGGGGAGTTGGGGGGATGGGGGAGCAGCCAGGCCTGGCCCGCCGCCCCCTCCCGGCGTGCCGTTAACATCCGCGGTGCATCTGCGCTCTGGAAGCATCGGGACAAGGTGGAGACACAGTCGGGCAGCCTGGGTGGTGGCAGCGTGCCCAGCACCTCAGGGATCACGGTGGAGCGTGTGGCCTTCCAGTCAAACCACCGTCCAGACGCCCGAGACGTGAGGGGTTTTGTCCTGGCAAAGGGATCAGGTCACTGTGAGTGACCCAGGGCGTGAGCACCAAGGACTGGTCCCTGGACTCTGGCTCAGCACACACTTAAAATCGGACCTCCCCTTCTGGTGCTGCCCAGGAGGGGGCCGGAGGCATCGCCCCAGAACCTGGGACGTGCCTGCAGAGAGGAGAGCTTTACGACCCCGTGTGGGTGAAGGCACTGAACCGGCAGGCCCGGCTAGCTTCCCTCAGTCTCTCCTTTTCAGGGGATGATGTCTCTGTGTGTGCGTCCAGGGTTTCTGGGGTCTCCTGTGCTCCCTACTTGCGGGGTTAGGTGTCATGGCTCTCCTGACACCCCTGAAGGTAGAAACACACGTCTGCATCAATGCAGGGAAATACTGCGTCTTGCCCAGGACGCGATCCCGTCAGAAGGTGGGACTGGGGGCCGAGCAAGCGTCCCAGGGAGGGCAGAGCCCCTGAGCCTGGTCCATCTGGGGCTGGGTTCAGAAACCTCCTTGGCCAACCAGTAGCCCTCCTTCACCCAGGACTGCAGGGGCTCTAACAAGGCCCGCCTGGAGTCGGGGCTCTGACGAGCCTGGAACCAGCACATGCTGGATGGCACAGGTGCAGCCTCCGCACGGCAGGCAGAGTCCAGGTGATGCTTCAGGAGGCCTGCAAATCTCTCTAAGTGACTCAGAATCGCTGGAGACGGAGCCAGGCCTCTGGTTTCACAGGCAGCCCGCTGGGTGCCGGGGTGTGCGTGTGGGGTTGATTCACACACAGGATGGCCCACAAGGGGGCTCTGTGTGGTCACCGGCGGCCCAGCATCTCTTGGGCAGGTACTGACCCCCCCACCCAGCACCTGGGCCTCTCTCGTGGGGGCGTAGAGGAGGGGTACTCACGGTCGTGATGAACTGGTCCCCGTCAGGCTGCTGCCGTGAGCCCTCCCGAGACACCCTGACAGTCCTCGTCAGAGGACAGCTCCGCGAGCGGCAGGGACGGCCCGCGAGGCCGGGGCCGCTGTCCCCTGATGGGTGGTGGGAAGACTCGGAATTCCCGGTCTCTGCGGAGAGAAGCCCAGTGAGGACTGTGCTCCGGCCTGGCCGGCTGCCCCTCAGGCCTACTGTGCCCAGCACTCTGGCCCTGAGGCTTGCACAACGAGAATGATCTACAAGGTACAGATTTATAACCAGATGACCCGCGATGCCGGGCTAAGGCAGGAGGATGGCACTGCCGGAGGTCAGACACCACTTATGCTCATGAACAAGAGGTCTGTGACTTTGCTTTTCTGAAATCAGGAGGCCCAGTGCAGCCGGAAGGGGAAGGTCGGGAGGGAGGTTGACCCCTCCCCCAGCAGGAAGCCTCACCCTGGGCGGTAAGAGTGAGCCCAAGTGGGGGACAACACAAAACGTGGCAAGAAGGGCCGCGCGGCTTTGACAGAAAGCGGGACAGGATGGGACGGGAGGCGCGCTCCCAGGGGCCTGTCCTGTGCCACCCCAGACAGAGTCGCGGCTGCAGAGCCCAGGCCCGTGGGGTCACTCCCCAGGGTGGGGCCCCTGCCAGGGTGCAGCCACAACCTCGAGTGTGGCTGGCGGGTGGCTTCTGCGGGCCGTGCTGGGGATGGCAGACCTGAGCCCTCCGACACCCTTCCGCCTGGTCGTCCTGCCGGGAGAAGTCCCACCTCCAGATCCGGGGCTGACCAGAGGCTGCCGCAGCCCAGATGGGGGCCACCCGCGGTCCTGGAGCCTGAGGGACGTGTCCAGGAGAGCGCGGCCGCTCTGGGCGGGCGACGGTGCGTGCTCCCCGTGGCCGCTGCCTGTTCTGGGCAGCTCCCGCCCAGCGCTTCACGCAGAGGCACCTCTGCGGTGGGTGGGGTGCCCTCAGGGGTGACTTCATGGTGGCAGTGGCGCATTTTGGGCTTCGGAGGGCACTCGGTTTGTCTGGTTTCTCTTTTTGCTAGTTTTAAACTTGTTCCCTGTTTCCTTGTCTTGAGTGGAAGCGGAATTTTTTTTTTTTTAAGTAAATGAAAATTTCTAATCTGGAAACCTTTGGCAGCGCACGAAATCGGGGAAACGATGAGCACATACGCCGGCCCCAGGCACTCACGCACTCTCACGCACACATTCACGCACTCTCGCACTCACGCACTCACGCACTCACTCACGCAGGGAAGGTCGGCCCCGCCTCCTGCTTCAGCTCACCCTGCTCCGTGCAGGTGTGCACGCTGCACGGACAGGGGTAGCGGGCGGGACTTGTGGGCGCGGGTGGGGGGCAGCGGCCCCCGGGCGGAGGAGGACCAGCTGCTGGAGGAGGACGTGCTGCTGTCTGAGAGGGTGGAGTGCGGTCTCTTGAGGGGGGCGGTGTGGTCACAGGAGGGCACAGCTCTGGACGCTCGGGTCCGTGCCTCTGGACGGGGACAGAAAACGAGGCTTTTGGCCTCTGCTGTAGAGGTGCAGCCTAGATTCAAGAACAAGATGGCCAGCCAGAAAACTACTAGGTTCCTTCCCCTGCGGTCACATCGGGCCTCATGGGGCCGCCACCCGTCCAGCCCAACGTGTTGGCCCGTGGGGCCCAGCGCACTGCGGCGCCTGCGTCTGAGTTGGTTGGGCCGAGCGGGAGCTGGGGCTGTGGCCGCTAACCTGTTCCATTCCTGGTGTAACTGACGGCCCGGTCGCTTATGGCCGCGTTGCTGGGCTCGACGTCCATGGATGGCTTGCTGCCTATCCCTGTGGACACCATCTCCTGTGTCCTGAGTTCTAAGATAGGAGTGTAGGGGGGAGTTTTCTAAGCAGCTCCCTGGGTTTAATTCCACCCTGAGTGTCTCTGGGGGACTGGACATGCTGAGGTGCCCGTTCTGGCCTCTCTCAGGGAGCCCAAGGGGGTAAACCAGGAAAAAGGAAGACGTGGGACCATAGAAACTGGGTGTCCAACCGGGAGGGGCAGGTCTCCGTCTGCGGATGAAGGGACATCCACCTTGGAGTGGGACAGAGGCCTCTAGGCAGGGCATGGCTCCAGGAAAGACAAACTGACAGGTATCCGCCACGCTTGAAACTGAGAGGGGATCCAAGCACAGGGTGAGGGCCTGAGCACGAATGAATGCTCGGTAAACCAAGCAAACAGAGAGGATGGCGATTACAGCGGGGGGGGCCCAGAGGGAGGGGACACCAGGCCTTGGGGACGTGCTGCTCCTACCGGGTGCCCCGAGCAAGGCTGCTGCGTGCGTGTGTGCACACGTGTGTACATGTGTCTCTGAGTGTCTGCATGTGTCTCTGTGAACATGTGTGTCTGTGTGTCTGTGCATGTCTGTGTGCGTGTCTGTGTGCATGGGGGGGTCCACACTTAGAAGGACGTGGCAATGACGAGGCGTGGGGCATCTCTGGTGACAGGTCAGGGCCCCGGCCAGGGTGGTAGCCTCCGAGTGCCAAGTGGTCGTGTTTGGATGTCAGGGTGTTAGCATGTTAGGGTTTCTCAGGCCCAGCAGGGTGGTCAGAGCCGCCAGGAGGGCCAGCTTGGAGGGGTTGTGATGAAGATGACATGTGTGGCAGCCAGCCTGGATGAACTACCACCCTGAAGTAGACACAGGTGTCCCAGTGATGAACTCAGGGGAGAGGAGGGACTCGGGGCAGACATGAAGGAGGAGGGAACGAGGTGGGGGGGTCTTACCTGTGGGGAGACCACAGGCTGGCCATCGGTGCAGCATCCAGGAGGCCAGGAGCCTTGACCACAGGGCAGGGCAGAACGCTGACGCCATGGGTCTGAGGGCATCTGGGAGCTGGGGCTGAGACCTCTCTCGGAGCGTGGGGGCCGGGGTCTGGCTTGTTGTTTTAAGGAGAAGTAAGTGTTCGGTGCTGATGGGTGGTGCTAAGGAGCCCCTCGGACCGACCACAAGCCCTGAGCCCAGCCCGAGCCCAGCCCGAGCTGGCCCTGCACGCCGAGCGCCCTCCAGCCGCTCTGCCCACCTCGGCTCCACAGAGCCTGCCGCCACAGGATCTTCCCTATCACGTCCGTCCAGGAGGTCTTGACCTCCGCGGAGCTCGCCTGGCGAATGTAGGTGTCCTGGGATTTCCGCCGCCTGCGGAACCAGATCTCAAACCTCAAGCCACTGTCCCCGACGTTCTCCGTCATCCCGATCTGTGCCATCTGCAGCCACAAGCACCGCGAGGGACCTCAGATCCTGCCCTTTGGACAACTGACTGCTCTCTGGCTGACGCTTGACCCCAGCGCCTCCGTGCCGGAGGTCCCCTCACCCAGACACCGAGTGGTGTGGATGAGGCTGGGCCGGGGGCCCATCGCCCCTGCCCACCCCCGTTCCCCCTCGCCCCCACCCCCGCCATCCACACTGGCTTCCTTGTGAGGGCTCAGTGCGCCCCCTCAGAAGGGCTCCCTGGCGCGTCATCACAGGACCCCTCCGATGAGCTTGCTGGCAGGGAAGGGGTTGTGGTGGGGCCTCTCCCGGGAGACTTCGCCCCCAGGGCCTGTCTCGGGGGAGGGGTGAGGCCCTGAGACCGCCCAGGGGAAGGCCACCTCTGTGCTCTGCCCACCTTCACCCAAACCTGAAATGGAGTCACCGACGAGGAGACATTTGTTTTCTAGCCCCTGGACTGGCACATGGAACGCGAAGGACAAATGGCTCCTTGCGGCTTCTGGAGGCCCCAGGCTCCAAAATTCAGCCGAAGAGCCACAATAACAAATAACCTGGCGTTCCCTCCAGCCCCCAGCGCCCTGTCTGACGCGGTACCTTGAAGGACTGCTTGTACGCGTGCACATCGTGGCCTCCGTCCACCTTCTGGGTCTTGCTGAACAGAATGAGGTCTTCAAACAGGAACACGCGCCTCAGGTGTTTCTTCCCTCTGCAGCAAACGAGGAACTCATCCTGGCATATCAGCCGCCCCTGTTCCTTCAGATCCACCTGCAGGCAGGCTGGCCTCTCTCAGGGGGACGGGGCATGACCTGACCCCCCTGACCTCACGCCCCTGTAACGAAGCCTCCACAAGGCGACGGCTGCGTGAGGGTCAACTGCGCCCAGCCAGGCCGCCCCTTCATGGGAGGTGCCCCCCTCCCTCCTGTGGACGGCCCTGTCCTGGGTGACGCCTGGGCTGTCCCAAATCGCTGGGCTGAGCTCACTGGACAGAGGGCTCGGGGGCCTTCGGGTCTGCGGTGGCCGCCTGGGGCCGATCTGTCGTCTTAGAACTCTTACTAACGCTGCTCTAACAAGGCAACCGCGTCTTCACTTGGGACGGGGAATTCGGGGCGGTCCTGCCTGACCGGGAGGTCCGCTCTTCCTCCTGGCCCTGGGCGCTGGCCCCACCATGGCCGCCAGCGGGGACGAATCAGTAGGCTCAGGCCCACAGCCCAAGGCCAAGCTCAGTTTTTCCCATATCCAGTTATTTCAGAGTAGCCCCAAACACCGACGTTTAACACTGAGAGCCCGCCTGCCTCTCCTCCCGTGGCTCCCGCCCCAGCAGCCTCTCCCAGGCGTTCTCTTCCCTCTGGGCGGGGGTCTGGGGGGTCTCAAGCGTGGGCGCCTCCCCGCAGGCCTGTCCTATGGCCCTCAGCTCACCCAGCGCCTGCTCACGGGCGGGGCAGCCGCCAGCCTCCTGGACCAGGGCCCAGAGCAGCAGTGCGTACTTGCCCACGCGCTGCACGGGCTTCAGCAAGTAGGAGGCCAGGTCCATCTTGTCACCCAGCTCCTGCTGCTTGTCCTGCAAGGCCGGCCGAGAGGGTCAGCCCGGGCCAGGCCAGGCAGCAAGGCTCGCGGGCGGGGGGGGACGACCTTGAAGAAGGCGTTGCCGTGGCTGCAGAGCAGGGTGTCTGCCCGGGCTTGTTCTTGCTGTACAGCGCGTTCCTGCCAAGCTGCTCCTCCTGCGAAGGGAGGGCTGGGGTCAGAAGCCGCCCAGCTCTGCAGGGTCTCGCTGCAGTCGGGAGCGGGCACTCGGCTCCCCAGACGTGGTGGGAGCCCTAGACTCAGTCTCAAAATACCAGTTTTCAGGGAAGAGGCAAGAGGGGGTGCTCAGAGGGTGGGCCCGAGGGAGGGTTTGAAATATTCATTAACAGTCAAGAACCAAGCTTGTCTGAACATTTAAAATTCTCAAGATCACTGTCCGCATAAAACAACATGGAAGTTGTACATGATGGCTAAAAGCATTTTTTAAGAAATAGCTGAAAAGACACAACATGTGGGATGCACTTCAGCACCGGTGTTTTTGTCACGGTAATTCATATTTAACAACGCTGAACCAGGAGTGTCACCTGCCCCCAGCACAGACGCTGCCCCAGTGCCCCAAACTGTGTTTGGTAACTAACTACTTGTTGAAAGAAGTTTCTTTTCAGAGTAAATTAAGAATTTTATAAAGACTCAATATTCATAGTTGAGAAGAGACTTATCAAAACCTCAGGTCTCCTCGGAATGATCTATACATCCATGCGGCTCTCAGAGCTGGTCAGGAGGGTCTGGCGCTCCTCTGGAAGGGGAGCTGGGCAGGCTCGCAGGAAGACCGTGACGGGGACCAGGTGGGCTTCCTACGTGCAGGGAGCAAACCGATTTTGGAAGCTGCTTTCGGCCAGCTAGCTGTGAGGGGTGGGTTGTGGACAGATTAGGTGTGATGACACAGGTGCAACCCCAGTGCTGAGGGGCTCTCGACCAGGGTGCCGTCTGCTGACCCTGAGGCCCAAGTGTCCAGAGCCAGGTCATAACTGGCAGGGACGTATCTCCTGACCCGGACACAAGGGACCCACTCGCCTGAAACATGGGCCGCTCCCAGCACGAGTGGGGCTGGCCTCACCCTGTTCACACAGTGGGCTGGGGACTCACATATCTCAGGAACGCGTGGCCCACAGCCCAGGGGCGGTGCCGGCAGCGCTCCAGCCCCGGGAGGAAGTGCCCGCGGTGGAAGGCGTAGAGTCTCCCAGTTCCCGAAAATGACGCTGCGCTTCCCTCGGAGGCCCTGGGGCAGGTCCGTCCTTTCCATTTCTGGAAAATAGTTGTCGATGACATATCCTAAGGACCTAACATACTGCCTCTCCGTGGAGATCATCTCGGCCATCACGTGCTGCGTCGGCTGCTGAAAGACAGAGAGCCGAGGGGACGCTCAGGCCTCGCGGCCGCCGGCCTCAAGAGGCACGTCATCAGCGTTATTCCTGCCTCGGAGGAAACCAGAGACTGAAACTCCAGAGTGATGAACACGGTATACACAGACGGGAGGTGCACAAAAGCACTGTCTCCCGTGGTTTCCCGTCTTTGGGGACGAGTAATTTGGAGACGCTTCCCACCTGAGCTGTCCTCTCACCGGTACTGGAGTCGCTCCTCTGATATAGAGGAGCGCAGGGAGGTTACAGCAGAAGGAAAGCTGTGGCATCGACGTTTCCACGCTGCCGATCACGGCCTTTTCAGAAGAGAGATCCCTTTGGAAACTGAAAAGGGGAGATTCGCAGGCTCCCTAACTCCAACCCTGAATCCAGACGGTTTGATTCTAGCACCGTCTTTAGGGGGCAGCTCTGGCAGGAAGAAGATTCGCAGGCCCGCAGCAGGGAGCCCTCTGCCAGGAAGGCTGTGCTGGGGATTTGCGGGGAAACCGGTTTCTGGCGCACACCCGCTGCTAACCTACCACAAGGTGTTCCTGAAAAGTCAGCTTTACTCAGTGACCTCTGGCCCAGATGCAGAGAAGCCACTGCAGCAGAGGACGGAGAGTAGGCCTGGGGGCCAGTGTGCTGCGGAGATGGACAGTAGGCGGAGGGCCCTGTCTGGGCTGGAGGTCCCCACGCACACTACGTGTTTCTTCCCTATTTGAGAGCATCCCACCAGCCACCTTCTGAAACTACTCCATCCTAACGACACCAGTGGGGGTTGGTAGAGTTTTTCCTGCCATTATGTGTCTTTACTTTTTTTTTTTAATTGGAAGAAAAGCAGCTAACGATAGGAAATACACCGTGGTCAGAATGCTGTGAGTTCATCCTGTTTGCAGCAGACCCTGGACGGCCCCTCTCGCGCCTGCGGCACGGGTTTTACAGGTGCTTCTCGTTTCTGGGAAGACGGCGCCTTCTGCTGGTCGGGGGCCTGGAGCCCTTGGCGGCAGCAGTGCCGACAAACACAGCTGCTGCCACGCGAGGTGCCCTTGTCACACCCACGCACGGCCACTGAGTCACCTCCTGTAGACACTCGCCGAAAACAAGTGTTCTTCCTCAATATCCAGAAAAAAAATACACACTAGCATGGTCTGGGCATCTGGACCAAGTAAATGGAAATTGACTCACAAAGGCTGGAAAGTTCTGGGGAAATGACTGCTGGCCAAGCGGCAGGAGCTCCCTCCAGACGGCTGGGTTTCCTGGAAGACGGGGCGGTCCACGCAAAGCTCCCGCCCTGGCCCCGGCATGTGGGAGGACTCGCTCCCTTGAACGTTGTGTGCGAGGTCCCCACCGCCAGGCCTGGGCTTGGTGGGTCTGTGGCCCGTGAATGGCGGGAGGGGGACCCATCCCCAGCGGCAAAGGCAGGACAGCTTCGCCAACCTGCTCCCTCCCAGACCCAGGACATGCACTCTGGCTGGCCAGGCGGCTCCCGGTGAGTGGACCACGCCCACCCCTGCCTTCTGCTACCCCGACACCTTCAAAATGAGCTGGAAGGCCGTCCACAGACCCGCAGCTCTCCCTGCGGCCTGCCCACACCTCACAAGGTCCACCTTTAACAAGGTGGTTGAAGGTTGTTTCAGAAGAGCATTTTGTAACCGTCTCAGTTCAGATTCCAGCTGCTCTCTGGAGGAAACACACGTGGACCCATCGAATGAGCAAAGGAAACCAGGGGACACCCCCTCGAGCCAGGGCTGACTGCAAACAGGGACAAACAACCCAGAGGCTGGGAGGCCAGGCTGGCGTCACCGACTGTCACTGGGGTGGGCGGGGTCCTTGACCACTTTTTATCCAGACAGTTAACAAGAAGTATCTTTTTGCAAACATCTTCCTAAAGATTTAACAAACTAAATGGACATCTTCATTTGGGCAACAGATAAACGGGCACACACCTCTCACCTCAATACTTAGAGACTTTTTTTAAAAGCAGTTTTTAAAGTAATTTCTTCACGTTGTGGGCTTGGTTTGCTTATTGTAATTTTCTAGAAATGGGCTCTAAACAACTAGAGTTGGTTGTTTAACCTTCAGAGCGGGTGTGCTAGGTCACTACACTCCCCGAAAAAGGAGGCGGCTTTCAGAGATTCTGTTCTGAGCACAGGGAGATCACTAATGTCTTGTTTAAAATCAGACGTGAGTGCTTCAGCCTGGACCTGACGGGGAAGGCCCGAGGGGCGTCCGTGGGTTTCCCACGCTGGGGAAGGGCACTTCACGGCTCTGGGTCTCTAGACCCCACTGATCACTAGGCCCACAGGTTGAGGGCATGTGCCTCACCTTCCAGCTTGCCCTTCCCATCCTCCTCGGAGGGGTGGGTCCTGGAGGGAGAGGACAGACTCCGGTTCCGAGGGAGCCGAGGGCTCTCGGCACGTGGCCTCAGCGGGGGCCGCTTCTCTGAGGCCACGGCGGTGCCGGTCACCTCCAGGCCTTTGATGAAGACCCCAGTGTGGCCCAGCCGGAGGGAGTCGCTGGGGCCACTGTCAAGCTGAGGAGTCGCGAAGCTTTGTGCTTGCTTCCTAATTTTCTTCAGGCGGTGCTTCCTGGGGTGGGCGGGGAGCAGGTGCCGCTGCTGTCCTGTGCGTGCACACCTGGGCTCAGGTGCTCACCCTGCCCACACACAGCAGCTTGTCCGGCGAGGCCGGGTAGCAGTCAGGCCCACTCCTCAGCTCGGCCCTCGGGGTCAGCGGGAGGGGTCCAGGAAGGCTCAAGGGGCTGCCCCTCGGGTCCCTGGGCAAGCTCGTGCTTCAGGGGGCTCCAGCCCAGAGGCAGGGTGCCGGGGCCCGGGGCCGCCTCTCCAAGGGCCTCTTGCCAGTGGCGTCGGGTCTGCCGGCTCTGCAGCCACAAGGTTTGGCCCCGTGGCAGCGCCCACTGGCCGCCGGGGCCCACCACCACCGCACTCGCCCTGGGGAAGCTCTGCACGGCCTGCCGGCGACAGCGCTTCAGATCCTCGGTGACCAGCTCTGGGTCCGGGTGCTCTAGGCACTGACTGCACCGCAGCGTCCGCCCGCTCACCTGCCCGGCACAGGAGGGCACCGGTCAGTGCAGTGAAGGACGGTCACGGCCAAGGCGGCCTGGGCGGCTGGAGCCAGCACCCTGAGTAAACTCAGGTCACGCTCTGCCTGCTGACCAGGTCGCCCAAAGCGAGGACCAGGGTGAGCCAGGGGCCAGAGCGAGAGGAAGGCCCTGTGCTCGCGGTGCCAACTGCCGACCGGACTCGATCGTGGGCATCAGGGCTGGAGAGGCCGGGAGACGGTCCGCCTGGTGTGCGACCCATGGGCCAGGGACCTCGGGCCGAGAGTTCCAGGCCTGCCCTGGCCTCTTGGGTTCTGTGCTCCTGAGGAGTCTGGCCCTGGCGCCCTAACGGCAGGAATTCTAGGGTGCTAGCGAGAGTGCGGGTGCGGCTGTGCGGCAATCGTTCTGGGATCTTTGACAGTAAGTGGACTTTTATAACTGAGCCGGTAAACAGAAAGGACAGTTCGCGTGTCCTCGTGGCCTGTCTGTCCGGTACAATAAATAAACCCCTCACAGGTCTACGGAGAGCCTGGCGGGGGGGCGCCCACCTCGCAGCGAATGTCCGCAGCAAGGACTGGGCAACGCGTGCACACCCTGGGAGGGACTGGGCCGGGGCTCTTACCGTCTCGCAGAACTCGGACCCGAGGGCCTGCCTGGCCAGCTCGCCCTCCCTCTGCTCAGCCAGGCCGGCCTTGGCGCTCAGACTCCTTCTGAAGTCCTGGGTCCCTTCCTCTGCACCTTGCAAGTCCTCTTCCATCAGCCGCAGCCCTTTCGGACGATATTGCTGCGGCCCAAGGAGCAAAGAATCAGAACAAGCCCCAGCAGTGCCCTGGGTGTCCCTGCATGTGTCCTGGTGGGCACCCACCGTCAGCCTGTCCGGGAGAGCCTGGGACGCCTGCCACTGCTTTGAGTTCCCCAGAGACAGCAGCTCCAAAGGCCCGAGGAATTTCTCTCTTTCTTTTTCAAACCACGATGTGATCTACGTAGGAAAAGAAGGTTTTACTTTTAAATGTGCTGAGGAGTCCGGCCCTAAGACTTCGGAGGACAAAAGAGGTGTCAGATGCCGCCTCGGGGCCAGTGCATCTGGCTCCTACAGCCACACGCCTCGTCCAAACGGCGCCTCCTGAGCGCATCCGAAGGCTGCTCGGCCTCAGTTTGAACCACGGTCCTCACTCGTGACTTTTCAGGCTGTGAGTGGGAGTGAGCGAGCTTGGGCTGGAGAGGGATTGGGGTGACCACAGACCTCCACGGCTCAAGCTTATACTTTTAATTGTTTGGAAGTGGAAATTAAGATCACTGAGAAATGCATCCAGAAGTTTCAGTTTCAAAACTTGTTACTATGCTACACAAACTCCAGAAACGGTCCTCAGGCTGTTGGCACCTGGGAGGGAGGGAGGGGCGATGGCAGGCCTGCCTGCACCTACGCAGTCCGATGAGGTCAGGGTCATCACTTTAGAGACGCAGTTCCCACGGCAACAGCACTACGCTCACCGCGGGCACGTCAGAGGCAAACCCTCACAGGGCAATGCAGGGGCATCCGCTCGTTAGACACCCAGGAAGAGGTTTGCTATTAAAAAATGGAGCAATTGGGCTGGATCTATCAGGACAATAATTGTATTTAACGAACTCAGATGTATGAGCAGAGGAGAGAGACCAGAGTACATGCTCTTTGTGGACAGAGTCATGGAAAAAACCATCAAACCTAGATTTTTGCAAGGAAGCACCTGCAGTCCTAGAACTGCCAGGTAGAGAAGAGGAAATGCTCAGCAGGGCTGAGGCGTCTCAGAGGTGGAGTCCCACTTCCGACCTTGAGAAAAAATAAATTCCAGTCGGTTTGAAAAATTAAATGGAGAAATTCAAACCATGAAAGTCTTATAATGGAATACATTAGTCGTTCTGTAACCGAAAATAGGAAAGGCCACATAAATCATAAGCAAATTTAAAGGACAAATTACAGATATCTGCAACACAATCGAAGGATTAGAAGCGACATAATGAAACTATTACAAACTGTAGGGAAATTGGCCAAGCACATGAAAAAGCAATTTATTAGGGAAGTAAAAATAACCAATAAATGTAGGAAGAAAAGGTTCAACTGCACCATAAAAGATCCGAATGCAGACAACGATGAGACACTTTATCGTCACCTGTCAGATTGGCAAACGAGAAAGCTGGCCTCCGAAGGCCGCCGAGAGCCCAGGCTGGGCCAGCTGTCTGGAAGGCTGCTGGAAGGTGTCTGAAAACCTCAGAAGGTGTGCGCCCTGACCCTCCAATCCAGCCTAGGAATTTGCAAACAATCACCAAGTGCGAAGGATGCGCAGGTGGTGATGTCTGTAATAGCGAACAGCAGGGCAGAGCCCCGGAGACTCCCACCGGCGTGTGCCCACGCGGCCCCACCTCAGGGCCCGCCAGAGGAGCGCGTGAGGCAGGATCTCACTGTGGTTAAAACCTAGGTCCTCTCTAGTCCTTCCACAGTGTGCATGCAATTGCTTAGGAAAAAAAGGCAACTTAACACACTATATAGGATGATCCCATTTTTAGGTTAAATTGTACTTAGTTTTGGGTGAAGATGGCAGACTAAAACATATCTAACTTTGATCCCTCCTGGAACACTGCTAAAGCTTCAGTAACCTCTTTCAAGGTATAAAGGATGGGGACAACAGACAGGATGGGAAGGAGGGACACTGGGGGCCCCGGGCGTCCTGCGCAGGTGGCGAAGCTGACGAGGAGGTGAGGAAGACCGGGAGCTGCGAGAGGCGGGGGCCCCAGTGCACGCGCCGTCCACCCCACAGCGCCCGGGTGCTCTCTGCACAGGGGGAGGCAGGCAGGGGCCACGGGAACACGGAGTCTCACCTCCTCCCTGACGTGCAGCCAGGCCCTCCCCTCGGGGATCGGAGGCTTTGTCTCTGGAGGAGCCCACGAGCCCAGGAGGTGGGCCCAGCAGGGGCCTCCAGTGGCCCCGCCCCACTCAGCAGCTGGGCAGGCAACCTAGGATCACCAGAAGAGCCTCCAGCATGAAAAAGAGAAGCCAGAACAGGCCTGCAGAAGCCCCCTCGGAGGGGAGAGAGGCTGGGCAGACACCACGACCAGTATTTCAGCCAAGAGTAAGTCAGGTGCTGTAAAGAAGGGCCATTGAGAGGAATAAGCAAACAAAACCCCCATGGGAAGTTAACAACGTTAGAGCAAAAGAAAAAAAAAACACACAAGTGGGGTTAGAAGATAAAGTCGATAAAATCTACTCTGAAAGTAGGGAAAAGGCCAGCGACATGGAAAATGGAAAAGGAAGAAAACGAGCGGACCAGCAGGAAGCGTGGAATTTGGGAAACGGGGGTGCGCATCAAGGAACCCCAGAATCCCCAGAGCCTAGGGAGGCAAAGGAGGAGCCTCTGCTCACCGGGCGGAGGCGGCCTGAGGACCAGAGGTGGACGAGATTCCCGGGAGAAAGCAGGGCCCAGCCCAAGGCCGAGAGCGCAGCAGAGCAGACTCTCCACTGCAACCCGTGAGGCTAAATGACCGGTACGGTGCCTCTGTTCCGGCGGGAAAATAAACTACTGAGAACTGTGAAGGAGAAGAGACAGCATCGGATGTGCAGGTCTTAGAGTTTCCATCCTTCCTCTGGGAAGTCCTGGAGGACATTTTATAATAAAATACATAATATATAAGAAACAGTAGACCCCATAGGATGGAGGAGGCCCCAGAGGCCAGGGAATCGACCCTACGGGTAGACGGGGGACCCCACAGGATTGAGGAGCAGGTTGGAGGAGCCCCAGGCAGGGCCCACCCCCAGGTTGGGGTGTCCCGAGTCAGCCATGCTCCTGGCTGCCACCACCGGGACCAGGTGAGCTGGTCAGCCCCTTGTCTGTGCTTCCCTGCAGCCTGGATCAGCTGGGTCACCATCTCCCACCACCCAGGACCCCCACTGGCCAGCCTATGGCTGGGCGCTAGGGCTGTTTGTGGGGAGATCAGGGAGGGAAAATACACAGTGTGCAACCCCACTGTGACTGCTGGCTGTCCTGGGGACCAGCCTGGGGTGCCCTGGGGGTGGCGCCCCTCCCACCCTGACTGCCCCACGGTGACCAGACACTGGAGGACGCAGGGCCAGCTGAGGGTCCAGAGAGTCTCCAGCCACTCTTCACTGCCCCTATGCTGCTGGCTGGGCGGGGGACCCTGGCTTCACATTCACTAACCAGGAAACAATGGCTGATAAAATAATAAGGATTTTACTTGAAAAACATAAGCTTTTGGAAATCGTTATATGCAAATGAATATAAAGAAGATCTGGATTCAGATAGTCAGTGTTACACTGGTTATGTCAGGTAGCCCGGTGCCGCACCGCCTGGAGCCCTGGCTGTCGCCTCCCCCTGGAGCCCTGCATGGTCTCCTCCTCCTGGAGCCCTGACTGTCACCTCCCCCTGGAGCCCTGGCTGTCGCCTCCCCCTGGAGCCCTGGCTGTCGCCTCCCCCTGGAGCCCTGACTGGTCTCCTCCCACTGGAGCCCTGTCACCTCTCCATGAAGCCCTGACTGTCACCTCCCCCTGGAGCCCTGAATGGTCACCTCCCACTGGAGCCGACTGTCACTTCCCCCTGGAGCCCTGACTGTCACCTCCGCCTGGCTCCCTGACTGCTCACCTCGCCCTGGAGCCCTGACTGTCACTTCCCCCTGGAGCCCTGAATGGTCACCTACCCCTGGAGACCTGACTGGTCACCTCTCCCGGACACTGACCTGGTCGCCATCCCCCTGGAGCCCTGTCACCTCCCCCTGGAGCCCTGACTGGTCACCTCCCCCTGGAGCCCTGACTGGTCACCTCCCCCTGGAGCCCCGAATGGTCACCTCCCCCTGGAGCCCTGACTGGTCACCTCTCCCGGACACTGACCTGGTCGCCTCCCCCCTGGAGCCCTGACTGGTGTCCTCGCTCCTGGAGCTCCTCCAGTGCCTGCAGACACCTGTTGGAGGCGAGGACCAGCCTGTGGACCTCTTCGTCTACTTGGTCGTACAGCCTGCAGGCAGCCTCGATGGTGTCCCTGGAAAGAGAAGGCAGCTGTCGGAGTGTTTGTTCACAGCAAGCCCCGAGTCGGTGACACCTGGTTACAAACACCAGCTGCACTCTGTACATCTGACAAAAACGGAAGCCCCCGAGGAGGCCCACAGCCTGAGCAGAGCATAAACACGCCTGTGAGCTGCAACACCCTGCCAGCCACAGATGCGGGCACCCCGGAGGCGGCAGGGAAATGTGGGTGGGTGGACCCGGTGCCTGGGAGGCAACAGGCAAGGAAGCATTTGGTTAGGACGGATGCTGAACCCCGGGAAGTGACCTTTCTCCACTTGAGCCTTCCAAGGAATCTGCTAGGCTTCCTTTAGTTACAAAGGGAATTAATCTCTGGTCAGTCACAGTGTGTCCATCAGAGGAATGGAGGTTTGAACTCCTTGGAGACACTGCAGGTGATGAAGACGGGCTTCCCGTGACCGGGCAGAGCACTGGGAATCGCCCCGGCTGGGCTGCGGTCCAGCGCTGCCCCAGCGGGACACTCACTGGTAGTCTTGGCCGGCGCCGTGCTCCTCCCTCCTCAGCCGTGCCAGCACGGTGCCGCCTTCCAGCCGGAGGGCCACCAGCCGCGCGTCTTCCAGGACATGCTTCATCATCGCCCTGTGCTTGCCGATCAACTCTGCGACCTCCTGCCCGGGGTGGGAGAAACGCGCTTGGAAGCCCTCCTCCAGTCCTCCCAAGCCTAGCGCTAATGGACACGTCAGTGTGACCCATGTCCTTGCTCTGTCAACCGAGCTAAAAGTGGGTGGGCTTGGCGCACCCCACATGCCGCCCAGTCCCCATGGGAACGTAGCACAGCTCCAGATGCCCTTGCCCAAGGGAAGGGAGATCTGAGGGCAGAAAGAAAGAGGGAAGCTTAAAGGCGGCAGCAGGAGGAGATCCTGGCATTTAGACGAGGCCGTGGATTTCACCGCGCAGCCTGGGCAGCGGGAGGCATCTCCAGGGCCCTGGTTCCTAGGCTGTTGAGGTCCCTCCAGCCAGTCCACCTCTGTGTCTCCTCTGAATGACTCACTCCTGACAGCAAATCACTTGTGCCTCGGTGGCATGTCAGCGAATGTAGCGGTGATGTTTCTTTTCTGGGCAGAGTGGGATTTTTTTGGTCACAAGGGAAGTTTTTTGCGAATTGAAAGGAATCTATGAATGAAAAAGGGCTTGAAAACTTTTGCTGAGGGTGATGGCTTTGACCAAACTGTTGTGTTCCCACCTATCTGTCAAATAACATAAAATACACGAGAACCTACCTGTGCTGTGCGTGGGGTCCTGTGGGTGTTCAGGGAGCGGACTGAATTTTGTAGGAAAACAATGGCTTCCTCGCAGTTTGAGGTGAAGGGCTCCAGCTTCTATTGAGGTTTGAGAGCCAGGAGACATAAAGACAGCTTCTGTTAGATGCTGAAACAAGCAGCTGTGACTTCCCACATTTGAACCCATCTCAGGTTGCAAAGCCTGCCGTGCGGCCGCCCGGTGACCTCTGCACATCTACAGAAGTTCCTCCCCTGCCCAGGGTGGGGTTTCAGTGGCATTCTCAAGTGTGCCATGGTGTGGCTGTCCAGAAACAGACTGTTGATGGCAACTATGACAGGTGTGACACTTGGTGGGGGGATGCCCTTTTCTGATTTGAGTAAAAAGTCCATCTAAGGAGAAGCCCAGGAGACTGGCATGTGCAGCAGCTGTGAGTTGCGCCTTACCCGACGGAAGCAGATCCAGGCACTGTGGCTGTAGGGAAAGGAGCCCTCGAGGTCTGCAGTCAGCTGGGAGCTGTCGACAAATTTGTGCAGGGCCTTCAGGGAACCCACCAGCTCACACTGCCAAGGAAGGCATTCACTGGTCATGGCCATGGACGCAGCTCTCAGGAAAAACCACTAGAATGGCTCACTCCTGGGAAAACTGCTGGGTTACTCGGTTGAGAGGATTGAGAAGCAACTTTAGGGTTCAGCTATCCTGTCTGCTGGTGGCATTACTGGAGTATATGTGGCTGGACACAGGAATCTAACTGAGACGTGAAAGGAGAGACAGCAAAGAGAAATAGAGGAAAGACCAAAAGAATGGAAAAGTTGGGGAAGAAGAGACGGCAAGATGTTAACAGGAAAAGGGAAAGGGCAGGAGGAGGAAGCGAAAAGTGAGAGGATGAATCAAGGATGAGCTACTTCTGGTTTGGCAGAGTTGAACCTCCCCAGACAAAACCAGACTCTGGATAAAGTATAACGACAGCCATCCGAAAGCTCTGGAGGGTGAACAAAGCCACCATGGAGGCAACTGAAACTGGGTAAAAGGACTGGCATGGGGTGGCTCCCTGTTTTTGTGGCTTTGGCCTGAAGGCAGGCTGCCAATATGGTGAGGCTGGAGTGGCTGAAGCTCTGATAGAAAATGGGCATCTTTCTGGCCTAAACAGCCAGAGGATAGAGCTGGGGCAGAACGTGAAGGTCAATATCCACCCCACGGAGAAAGCTGGGGAAAGGGAGCTCCAGTTGTGTGTAATTGGACCTACTCAGTCTAATCAAGTTAAATGCATGCTAAAACAGGATTCTGTGAAGGTTTATAATAGAATCCAGGGTCTCTACAACAGAATATTCACAATGTTCAAAAGATAATCCAAAATTACTTGACACACAAAGAATCAGGAAAATGTGACTCATTCTGAAGCTTCAGGAAAAGACAATCAACAGAGATCAACCCAGAAAAGACCACAGATGTTGTAATTAATTATGACAGGACTTTAAATAAAACAGCTATTATAACTATGTCAATGATGTAAAGGAAAAGATGCTTGCAATTAATGAGAGAATAGGAAATCTCAGCAGAAACATAGAAAATCTATTTTAAAACCCACTGAAAATTTTATAGCCGAAAAACACAATATCTGAACTAAAAAACTCACTGGATGGGCTTAATAGCTGAATGGAGTCAGTGACCTTGAAGATAGGTCAATAGAAACAATCTGATCTGAAGAAAAGAGAAGAAAAAAAGTGAAAAAACCTCCCAGATTCTCAAAGACTTATGGGACAATATCACTACTGTATGTGTAATTGAAATCAAGAAAGAGAGGAGAGAATGAGCAGAAAAGACTCTTAAGAAATAATGATTGAAAACTTCCTAAATTTGGCGATAAACATAAACGTAAACGTTCAAGAAGTTCAGCCAAACTTAACAGGATAAATAAGGAGAAAACCATGCCGAGTCACGTTATAGTCAATTTGCTAAAGAAGAAGGAGAAAATCTTAGAAGTGGCCAGAGAAAAATGACACATTTCCTATAGATGAACTTTTTTACTATGAACTTTTCATCAGAAACTAGGAAGGCCAGAAGACACCAGAACAACATCTTTAAAGTGCGGAAAAAACAAACAAACAAACTACTGTCAAGCCAGAATTCTATATCTAGCGAAAATATCCTTCAAGAATGAAGGCTGGGAATTCCCTGGCGGTCCAGTGGTTAGGACTCTGTGCTTCCACTGCAGGGGGCACAGGTTCAATTCCTGGTCAGGAACTAAGATCCCGCAAGCCACGTGGCATGGCCAAAAATAAGTAAATAAAAATAAATAAAGAAAAACAGAAAAGAAATCTGAGGGGAAGAGAGAACATTTTTAAAAAATGAATGAAGGCAAAGTAAAGATATTTTCAGATAAGAGAGAAAGAAGCAAGAAGAGAAGGAAAGAAAACAAATGAGGTGGAGAAGAAAAACCAGATTTTTAAAAGTTTTCTAATGTTATGTTCTGCAGGGGTCCTGCAAGAATTCAAGGCATCGGAGACAGGTTTCCAGCCTCCTGTATGGAAGCAACTAGATCTTACAGAAATTCTTTCATGCGTTATCTCATCTAGGTGCCCTAATATTTAATTTTATGCATCACTCAGGGTCTATCTGTCAGAGTCATCAGTCAGTCTGGTGCTTACGGTCTAAAACCATTACCTGAATTGTTGCATCCTTGTCAGGCCTAAATGCTGATTCTTTATCCACCAGCAGCAAAATACTATGAATTAAGGGAGGAGATGTGTTCTGAAATAAGAAATACTGATTAGCTTTCTAATTTTTAACTTCATTGAGTTAATAAAATTGTCCAATTTTTATTGGTTCTACTTTGATATGTTCCAAAAGTTCCTAAAATGCATAAAATGTAGTTGCCTTTGCTGTGAATATAAATTATTTGCCCTTATGAATTTTAAGGTAATCAGGTTTATTGATTATAATTAACATAGGATAAATTCACCCTTTTTCGTGTACAGTTCTCTAAGTTTTAACATAACTTATAGTCATGTAACCACCACCACAATGAAGATATAAGACAGTTTAGCATCCCGCACATTTCTTCATGTGCCTTGTAGTCCAGCTCCACAGTCCCTGGCAATCACCCATCTGTTTTCTGTCTCCGTAAACTGCCTTTCCATATATCGTATGAGCGGACTCATGCAGTGCAGTATCGGCTTCTCTCACTTAGCACACTGCCCTGAGACGCATCCCCATTGCTGGGAGGTCAGTAGCTCACGCCTCTCACTGCTCATCATGTTACCTCGACTGCAGGCACCACAGTCTTGTCGTTCACTCAGCAGATGAAGGACATGTGTGTTGTTTCCAGTTTCTGGCGATCATAAACAAAGCCTGTAAACACTGTGTTTTCATTTCTTTTGTGTAAATATCCAGCCATTGGTTTGCCGGGTTAAGTGTATGTTTAGCTTGTGACTAACAGCCAAATAGTCTTCCCGAGTGGCTACACTGTCCTGCATCCCACCAGCAACACCACGGTCTTGTTCTTGTCAAGTTTGTGGTTGTAGTTGTATGTGTGATCTCATTTTGGTTTTAAGTTGCATTTCTCCAGTGACTAAAGACGCTGAACATATTTTTTTTTTTTCTTTAGTGGTACGTGGGCCTCTCACTGCTGTGGCCTCTCCCGTTGCGCAGCACAGGCTCTGGACGCGCAGGCCCAGTGGCCGTGGCTCACGGGCCCAGCCGCTCCGCGGCATGTGGGATCCTCCCGGACCGGGGCATGAACCCGTGTCCCCCGCATCGGCAGGCGGACTCTCAACCACTGCGCCACCAGGGAAGCCCTGAACATATTTTTATGTGCCTATTTCCCGTTCATCAATTGTTTTTGGTAAAGTCTGTTCAAATATTTTGCCCATATTTTACTGGACTTTTTTTTTCTTACTATTGAGTTCTGCAACTTTATATATTCTGGATACAAGTCTTTTAACAGATATGTGTTTTGCAAACATTTTATCACAGTCTTGGCTTTGTATTTTCATTTTAGTAACAATGCCTTCTGAGGAGAAGTTTTAAATTTGGATGAAGTTCAATTTATCATTTTTTTCTTTTATGGATTATGCTGTTGGGGTCAGAGCTAAGAAATAGTTGACTAAACCAAGGTCATGAAGATTTTCTATGTTTTCTTCTGGTGGTTTTGCAGTTTTAGATTTTACATGTAGGTCTAAGATCCATTTTCAGTTAATTTTTATATATCATATGAAGTATGTGTTGAAGATTTCTTTTTTTTCTTTTCTTTTGCATACAGATGTCCAATTGTTCCAACTCTATTGGTTGAAAAAAATCTTATTTTTAAAAAGTGTTTATGACTTTAATCAAACTCCTGTTTCTGTCTGCTAGATTATACTGAGGCCAGATCATTCCGCAATAAGATGCTTTTATTTACCCAGTGTTTCTTCATTCATATTTCCTAAGGCTTTACTTTTTAATACTTTCTTATAAACAAATTTTAGGCTTTTTTGTAATCCCCTATTTTGAAATGAATTTACTGGATGGGCCTCAGGACTAACTGATATCTATTTTAAGTTCATACTATGTACTTATATTATTGTTAAGTGGCTTCTTGTGGATGACACTTTGTAAATATTTGTTGAATGAATAATCCATAGAAAAGCCATAGAAAAGAACAATCTTGTTTTCCTATTTTAGAGCCATATTCTATTTCTCTTACTCAGTTTAGCTAAAATTTTGAGTTATCATGCATTAAAACTACAAACAGTTTGGAGAAGTGTTTTATATTTCTTATATATTCCTATTTGAGTGATTTTTTACTATTAGGATTTGTTACTATTTCAAAGAGAATTAATGTTAATTCTCAGATAAGAGAGAACAGTTAATGATTTATGACAATTACCATGTTAATAAGGTAATAGTTACCTGCTGTGAGTGGGGTAAGGGATGTGCAAAGTCTCAGGAGTTTCTTCCACCAAGGGAAAAAGAATCACTATTCCCTTTTCAAAATGGAAAGATTTTTATGGTATCTGAACTTCAATAATTTAACAAATTTGAAGTATACTTACTTGAGGTAGATATGAAGAACAGCTGAAATTTTTTGCCCTTTGTAAAAATATTTAAGTACTTTTATACATCCCTCAAAACTTAAATTGAAAATGGACACATGATCCTTAAATTCCAGCTCATTTCCATTCCTCTCATTTGCATCGGAAATCTTGCTGTCAGCTGAGCCAAAAACAGGGCAGAGGTCTGCAGGCCAGCTTTCTCTGCAAGGCCCTCAGGGCTGTCTGAAAGCCAGCTTTGTGGAACAGTTATGTCCGACATGGAAAAGAATTGGATCTCCTCTCGTAACCCCATCATGAAGCTCCTTAGGCTATTCGTGTGTGATAAAATGTCCCAGACGTAGCTGACGTTTCCCCAGCTCCCAGCTTCTGCTCTGGGAGTTGCATGGGTGGTCAGGGACCACCTCTCTCAGGCCTGACTCCCCCATGGGACCCGAGTGGCCCAAGATTTAAGGGAAGTCTGAACAAAAAGAAATGCTGGGGAAACCGGTAAGTGGCCAGGTCCGATCTGCCTAGATCTCAGGTCAACAGCTAGGGTGGGGAAGCGCGGCAGACTTTCTGCGAAGGGCTCGCTCGTCTCCGCCTGAGGCTGGAGCCCCGATTTCCACGGGCTCTTCATGGTTGATGATATTCACGTTCCCATCGGATGCCAAAGGGGCAGAGCTGCCAGTCCTCCCGCTTTAGGAAAGGCCCACGGAGTGTGCAGACGTGCATCTGCGTCTTCCTGGCTGTCTGGCCCTGCTCTGCTCCGTCCCGCACACAACACACACGCGGTACAGCACGCGGCATGCCATACAGCACGCTGTGCCCGCCTCTCCCCTCGCCTGGAAGTTCGGATCCTCTCCCCAAGCCGCTCCGGCCTGGCCTCCCCCGAGCCCCGCCCCACGCAGAGCCTGTCTGCCGGGCCCCTCTTTGCTTTCCCCAGACTCTGCTCTCCAGCTGATCAGACTTGCTCCAACCTCAGTCACTAAATCTTTCCTTGAAAGAACTTCTGTTTGGCGTCCCTAAAATGTAGGCGCCTGGGTGAGAATAGTGACCAGTGCTGTACCATTAGAGATGGAACAGAGGAAACGGTGTTAGCTCAGGAGCCACTGGAGCAGCTGCAGCTCCAGGTGCCTCTGAGAGCCCGGACCCCAGCACAGCGCTTGGCACACAGGAGCCCTGTGTGCACACATCTGAGGGAGACTGAATGTTCTCAGGCTCCCATCTGGCCCTGGGTCCCTGAAACATCCAGTGGTGCCTCTCTCCCTGTTCCAGGGACTCCCTGGATTCTACTCATGACCTGGAATCCAGGCTTGGGGCTTCCTGAGGCCACCGCTAGACCACCGGCCTTGACCCCGTCCCAGAGGGCTCCGGGACTCCTGGCCGCCCAATGACCACGGCCCACACCCCACAGTGAGTGGCGGCCGCCCCTGCAGGCCTCCATTCCTGTCTGGGAGGGTGACTAACTACCCTGCACCCGGATTTAGTCGGAGAGTAGACACGGAGACGGTGTGAAGGGACGTCATCACTGTTCCTGCTGAGTCAGAGTACAAACCAGAACGTCTGCACGGCTGACCATGGCCAGCTGGACTTGAAGGTCTGCAGCGAGACCAGGAGGGGGCAGAAGCAGAAACCTGCTTTGCTCCTTCCACCTCTAAGCACAGGCCCCTCCCCACGTCTCCAGATTCACAGGAGGGAGGTGGCGGCTGCTGACCCCCTGTGCCTGGAGAAGCTCAGCGCCCCAGGACGGGACCCACCTGCTCACCTGCAGGGCTGCCAGGGCCTGGGAGAGGGCGGGGGCGGCCAGGCTCTTGCGTGCGTCCACCAGGATGACCAGCCCCAGCTCCCGCACCTCCTTCCTGGAGAAAGAAAGACAGGACATGTTAAATCTCGTCCAGAGCGAGTTTCCCTGTCTCTCCACGAGACGCGTCCCCACCCAGATGCTCTTGGCTCTACGAGTTCGGGACTCTTGGCTTGATACACATCCACCTTCCGCTTCCTGAGGAATCAGCTGCTTCTCAGTTGGAGGTAGGGCAAGCGGGACTCACTGTGGTGGACCAGCGGTGGGGAGGTCTGCTTTCTCTCTCCTGCCCACCGACATCCACGCAGGTGCAGCTCCGGGTGAGTGAAGCAGGGCCTTCATCCAGGAGCCAGAGGCTCCTGGGAGCCTTTGTACTCATTTGTGTGTTTGGGTTGATGCAGGACTGCAGAGCATCCCCTGAAACTAAAAATCTCGCCACGTGCTTTTGAAAACCCCGTTGTCTGTATTGTGTGATCAGAAGCTTCAGTTCCAGATTCAATAGGAAAGAATAACAGGCCGGGACAAGTTGGTATATTCATTCTTCAGAACTTGCAGTGTCCCTGGGAACTGCCTTCCACTGTAGCTTCCAGTGTCCGCGAGTGTTCTAACTGAGCCCGGGACCCGATGCCTGCCTACACAAGGCTGCAGAGCTGCACAGCTTTAGTGCCATGTTCCTGTTCGCCCCCCAGTCAGGTGTGTTCCATTTGGGGTAAAACTGCTAAAGAACATTTGAAGGGTGTTTCTTGGGGAGGCCAGGTACGAGGACATAAGTGGGGCTGCGGAGCCCAAGATGATGCGTCTGGTGTTGGCGGCTCCTCGAGGCCCAGGTGGGAGCAGCCAGGTGGACGCTATGTCTCTGCCCAGGGACTTCTCGGTGCCCGCCTGCTTGGCCACACGGGTCCTGGTCAGTGCTGTCAGGAGCTAGGCGAGATGCTCCATTTCTTCGGAGGGTCTCGTGTCCACCCTGCCGGTCAGACCGGAGGCCTCCAGCAGGGACGGCTGGATCTTGCTCTGTCGTCGTGGGCCTCCCTTCCCTGGTGCCCCCGGCCCTGGGGTTTCCCGTCATCTGCCAAGTCAATAGCGGCCCCAGAGCCCAGCAGGTGGCCTCACCAGGGCCACAGGGGCGGTCGTGCTCAGTGACTCACAGGCTCTCCTCTATGACGTCACCCACTTGGCAGCTGGCAGGACAGCCCCGCCCTTCCTGGGGGCTGCTCCCGGGGTCAGACAGCTGCTGGACCCTGGTCCTGAGTGGCTGAGACGGATCCCTTTGCTCATTCCTGCATCCACATTGGTGCCAACTGGAACCCCAGAGCAGATCCCCTCCCCTTCTGCCTGCCCCTGCTCTGGATCCCCTGACGCCTCTGCTTCGCCCTCACTCCCAGCGGCAGGCAGCCTCCAGGCCCCCAGTCTGGCCCCTTGGGGTCCCTGGTTCACCCCAGGCCGCTGTGCAGACCTGCCTGGATGTCTGGGTCTGCATTTCTGCGGAAGCCTCCGAACTGTCTTCCTGAAGCTGCAGGCCGCTCGGCCTGCCACACGCCATGGTCTTCGGCCCAGGGGGGCCTGCTGTCTTCACAGCGTCTTCCGTCCTCAGAAAGTGCCCGACTGCTCCAGGCCTTGTGTGTGCTCTTGCTTCCCCTCTTGTCTGCAAACCCTCTCCCTCCTCCAGGACACAGTATGTCTGGGAAGTCCCTCTCGGCACTGTGGGCTTGTCTCTCCCTGGGAGCTGCGACAATTCGGGTTCACGTGTGAGTCTCCATCAGGGCAGGAACTTCTGCTGTTGCCTTTTGTATTCCCAGGTAAGTGTGGATGGCAGGATGGATGCGTGGACTCCTGCATAGCGCAGGGGGGTGCATGGATAATAGCCAAGACCCCTTCCGAGTTTAAGGTTCTGTGTATCTAAGAGTCTGATGGCAGTCCTTTCACGAGGCCAGCTCAGGAATGCGGGGCTCCTTGTAACACACCTGCAGGAACCGGTGATGAGACTCTCCCGGGCGCTCCTCCCAAAGATGCGGCATCTCAGGTGCCTCTTCCCAAGAGCTGAGGGCATGTGCCTTCTCCCGGTGCCGCTCTCTATCAGGACGTTCACGGTTACAGCCCTTGTTGGGGAATAACCAGCCAAACCTTCGGACTCCAGAACAAGCTCCCCTAAGTCTTCAGAAACATTCTTCTCCCAGGTCTTCATGAGCAGGTGAGCAGTGGCATGCTGTCTGCACCGGCTGTGGCAAAGTGGAAAAAGCAGGGGTCTGGACGTCCAGCTCAGCCCCGGTCCCAGACTCCACAGCAGTCTCACTCCTTTCTCTCGGGGGGCCCTGGTCAATCAGGACCTCCCTGCAGTGGTCAAAGGAAAGCTTCTGGTAAACAGAAAATGTCATTATTCTAGGACTTTGAAGGTGTTTACCTGAGGCTTATAGAGTACGAACTAGTGCAAGGATGAAACTAATTTTTTTCAGAGTCGTTTCCTTATATTTTGAAATCTCTGCTGAAAGATAAGTTTGAAATCCTAGGCTCAGTGCAGTAAAAGTAGGCCCTGCAAATAACTGGGAGCCTCGCTCTGCGAAGGAGCCTGGGGGAATGCAGTATTTTAAGTCCTTTCCTGCCTATGTGTTCCCACGCTGACTGTACCCGTGCTACTTCAGAAAAAATTTCAACAGAAAGTCAATACTCCACAAACAAGCATGAGGTCACGGGTGGTCCTATACCAGGAACGCTCCCACGTCACGCGAGGGCACACCAGGTAGCGTGTTCCCACACGCACGCACACGTGGCCATGAGTCACCCGGCACGCTCTCATGTGAGGTCATGTGACTTCACTCTAGGGACTGCACAGAGATTATTTCTAGCCCCTCTAGCACACCCATGAGACATCCCTCCATCACGGCACACTACCGACTCCAGCCAAGGGCAGGGCTGGGATTCGGGGCTGGGATTCAAACCTGGGCCGTTGACCTTAGGACTGAGCCCTGGGGCTACGTCCACCCGGCACCGTGGAGGCTCTTGGTCTGATGGCCGTGAGGGAGCCCGAAGCCCGTCTGCACCTGATGGGGGTGAGGGGCCCCAAACAATGCGCGTGACTCCGGTTCTCCATCCGCCCCCATCTCTGTCCTTGGTCCGTGGAGAGCCCTGGGGAGGGTCACCCAAGCATGTCTGCTTCCTTGTGTAGGGCGCAGGAGGCAAGGTCCCCTGGAATTCCACACCAGGAAGGTGCAGCTCTGGAGGGGCTGGTGCACTTTCTTCCTGGCACGTATGCTGCTGGCTGCCCGGAGGCCCAGCGATGCCACAAGGCCTAGTTCGCGGTCAGTCTTTCCTGCTTTCTGGCACCAGGTACCTCCTATTTGTACAATTTCTTCACCTGGTTATACTAAATATTCTGTTTGTATCAGCTCATGTCTTTAATCAAGGTCACTTCAAATCTTTTTTAGAAAGAGGTGGAGCATAAAACATGTAGACAAATAATGCTTAAAGCCAGTACTGCACAAGGAAGAGCAACGCAGAATCCAGGCCTGCACTTGGGGGAGAGGGGTCCAGGTGCACGGGAGGGACGGGGTGTGTGGGGGACGGCACGTGACAGCCCCGCACGAGGGCCCGGAAGGAGGGGGAGGTGGGAGATGGGACCTGCCGCAGTGACGCGCCAGACGGCAGAGCCCAGGAGCCACCCGAGATTACACCTCAGCTGGGTTTATCCTCAAAGGGTCTGAAAACTGGAGGCTGGCTCAGTCCCACCTGGGGATGCTGTGGAGGTACTTCAGCAGACGGGTTAGCTCGGCACTGGACATGTGTTCGCTGGACCAGAGTGGGCCCCTTGTACAGACCTGCACCACCGCTCTTCCCTGACGGTCTCGGGTTCCTGCAGAAACAGAGGTGTTGGAGGAGGTCACTGAAAGGATGCGACCGCTAGCTGACCCCCGAGCTGGACCCAGGCCCCATGCTCCTCCGCCCTCCTCGTTCCCAGAACCTGCCTCAAGACGCACCTTGGAGATAATGGTGTGGCATCGAGACCGACTGGAGAGTAACATGACTGAGCCCAGTTAAGGTCTCCCTCCAGGTAAACTTTAAGACTCTGGCGGGTGGGGTGGAAATCTTGAGGCCGCCCAATACAAGCCTAGTATATAAGTTACCTGCCACCTGCCAATGTGGAGCGTGGCCTCTTTCTTCGGTCTCTCTCTGCCCTCTGTGAGTATGTGGGTAATTTCAGATTCCACCCGGGAAGGTCCCAGGAGGCTGTGAACTAACAAGGGGCCATCGTGAAAGGGGGTAGCCCCCATAGGGACACCCGCGGCTTCAAGCTCGAGGAGCATGGAGCCAGGATCTGCAAACACTATTTGAGTTATCGGCTTAGATGTGAGATCTGCTGGGAGGGTAGAGCCTGGCGTTCACCTGGGCAGATGACAGCCAAGCTCACCTGGGAGGGTGAGGGCCACTGCCATGCTCTGACTGTTTGTAACCGCCCAGATTCATGTTGAAATCTTAATGCCTGACTTGATGGAATTTGGAAGTGAGACCTGTGGGAGGGGCTTTGGTCCTGAGGGTGGAGCCCACATGAATGGGATTAATGCCCTTATAAAAGAGAGACCCCTTGCCCACCTGCCACGTGAGGACACGGTGAAAAGGTGCTGACTGTGAACCAGGAAGGGGCCCTCACCGGCACCCACCATGCTGCACCTTGATCGTGGACATCCAGCCTCTAGGGCCGTGGTAAGTGAAGTTGTGTTGTTAAGAAGCCGCTGGCCTGTGGTGTGTTGTTGGCAAGACAGCCATGCTCACCTGGGAGGGTGACCGCCCCGGACTGCAGTAGCTCCTGGTTGAGTTCCAGCTCCTGCCTGGGCGCCCGGCTGGGCAGGTCTCCTGTGCCAGGTGCCCACCCTTCACCCTCGGGGCACAGCGGCTCAGCAAGCAGGTCCGAACACCGGATGGGGCTGCTTCCTCGGAAGCTGCTGCCCTCTGCATAGACTTCAGCTGCACAAAGCAAAGAGACCTGGTCAACGAAAACGCACTTCTCTGGTCTGAAGGCAGCTACAAATGCAAGGAGAAAACAGGAGACCTGTGAACTTGTCCCATTTCTGGTGGGAAAGGTCAGTGAGCACATCTGCAGGTCAGGCTTTTCCTGAGGAGTAATGAATAAATCACATAAATAAACGGGTTCTCAGATCCTGACAACCAGAAAACACCCAAGGGAGAAACATTTTATACCGAATGATGTCATGGATCGTGACCGCAACCTCCTGCATCACCCCAGAGATTGAGGCCTCGAGTTCACACATAACCTCAGAGGGGGCGTCCTCACCCTCCACGCTGCGTAAAAGAAGGGATTCTCCCTCGGCCATCATGTCAGAAGGAGGCCTCGCTTTCACTCGTCCCCTCAAAGAAAGGGTCCTTGCTTCATACATCAACTCAGAGAGGAGGCTTCACCCTCACGCATCCGCTCAGTGAGAGGAGCCTCGACCTCAAGAATCACCTCAGACAGGTGGTCGCTGCCTCACACACCTCTCCACAGAGGGTGGCACCACCCTCATGCATCTCCTCAGTGTGGGGGTCTGGCCATATACATGCCTCAGAGAGAGCTTCCTCGCCTCACACACCTCTTGAGAAAGGGGATCTTCACGCACGTATCACCTCTGAGAGGGGGGCCTCATCCTCCAAACACACCACTTCAATGAGAAAGGTTTCTTTCCGCCCTCACACATCTCCTCAGAGAGTGGGTCCTCGAGTCACTTGTCACAAAAGAGAATGGGGCCTTGCCCTCCAGTGTCACCTCATAGAGGTGTGCCTGGACCTCAAGAATCACCTCAGAGAGGGGGGGTTGCACCCTCACACAACACCTCAGAGGGGTTCCTCATCCTTAAGAATGATCTCAGAGAGGGTGTTTCACCCTCACAAATCTCCTCAGACAAGGAGTTCTCACCTCACACATCTGCTAAGACACAGGGTCCTTGCTGTCACTTGTCATCTCAGAGAGGGGGGCCTTGTCCTCATGCATCATCTCGACTCCTTTTTGAGCATCACCTCAGGGAGAAGGGGCCACGTCCACCAGCATCACTCAGAGAGTGGGTTCCTGGCCCTCACACGTCACCTCAGAGAGGGGGGCCTCACCCTCACACATCACCTCAGAGAGGGGGGTCCCCTCCTTGAGAATCACCTCAGAGAGGGGGGCCTCACCCTCACACGTCACCTCAGAGAGGGGGGCCTCCTTTCTGAGCATCACCTCAGAGAAAGTGGGGCCTCAGCCTCACACATCTCCTCAGAGATGGGTCCTCGCTCTCATGCATCTCCTCAGGGAGAGGGGCTTCACTCTCTCACAAATGTGACCTTATTTGGAAAAGGCTCTTTGCAGAAGTGAACTAGTGAAGTTTAGGGTGGGCCTTAAATTGAATGATAGGTGTCTTTACAAGAGAAAGGAGAGGGAGGTTGGAGGCACGGTGAGACACAGGGTGAAGGGCAATGAATTTGGCCAAGGGATGCCTGGGGCTCCAGTAGCCAGAAGAGGCAGGAAGGACCCTCCCCTGAAGCCTCTGGAGGGAGTGGGACCCTGGGACACCTTGATATTGGACTTTAGGACCAGAGCCGTGAGGATAATTTTCTGTTGTTCAGAGCCATGAAGTCTGTGGTACCTTGCTGTGGCAGCCCCAGAAATGAATACATGTAAACATTTTCAACAGTTGATACGGACATGGAGACAGGCTTCTACTGAATCAAGTGACCAGACCAATTGTCACAGGTGGGAGAGGGGAGGAGGAGGAGGGGAGTGTGGGGGGGAGGAGAGTTGGGGGAGGGGAGAGTGGGGGGAGGGGAGTGTGGGGGGAGTGGGGGTGGACATTTACCTTCCTCTCCTGTGCAGCTGGGACTCTCCCCTGTGCCTGGACAGCTGGAGCCTGTGGTTCTGGTCCCCACAGCTTGTCCTCCCAGGAGAGCCCCTGGGCTGGTGCTGGCTAAGTGCTGGGAGGCCCGCCAGGTGTCACCTCGGGAGCTTCTGAGGGACCTATCCCAGGATCGAGACCTCCTGGGAAGGGTCCTCCCTGCAGCTCCTGGACCCCTCTCCTGTCTCGGGATCTCCTGGGGGTCTCCCGCAGGGCCAGGGATCTCTTTCGGGGTGAGACTGGCTGCTGCCCTGGGCCCCCTGGCCTTGTGGCCGTGGGTCTGGGAGCCACAGGCCTCGTCCCCGATGGATTCCTCAGAGCTGGAGCCCAGGGGCATAGGGTTCTGCAGGGCCTCCATGTAGGACTTCCTGAACCAGCGTCTGGCCTCCACACTGGCTGGGGCCCTGGGCGGCCGCCTCCTGGAGCTCGGGCTGCCCACCTCTGCGTGGAAGGAGAGGGCCTTGGAGCCGTCCTTCTTGACCATGGGGTCCAGCCTCCCTCCTGGTCCTTCAGGGCTCTCAGGACACTCCCAGGGGTCCTGCTCTGAGGGGCCAACCCCAGTGAGGCCTCCACTGGGACTCCCGGACAGGGTCCCGGGGCTTTCACACTCAGCCCTTCTTGGGGAAGGAAGACGGCGGGGCTGGTCACTGCTGGGATGCCCACCGCAGTGGGGCAGGGTTGGGGTGTGCTTGGAAGGCGTGCTGCCCTGGGGAGCGGGACTGGCCACGGTTGGTGCCGGGGCTGGAGCCTCCGAGGCGCTGTTGGGTGGCGGCTGCTGAGGCCCAGGACCGCTGGGGCAGCTGGGCAGGTTGGTTCCAGTGGTGGGGACAAAGACAGGGTCTGTGACGTTGTTCCAGGGGGTGCGGTAGACCGCCGAGCCTGAGGTCAGCAAGCAGTTTTGCAAGGGGACACTGTTCTGTTCCCCATTCACCAGTTCCAGGAACTCTCCCGTGAAGACACAGCCGTACATGGTCTCAGGGACAGTGACTTCCTCCGAGCCTTGTCCAAGCCGGGAGAGGCGTTTCAAGACCAGTCTGGCAGGCTGCTTCCCCGCTGCCACAGTGATCTGCAGGTAGAAGTCCCCAGGCCTGAGCCTGACTCCGCGCAGGGGCGCCAGCTGCACCACCACCTTCTCGTGGATGCACAGCGGCCACCCTTCGTGCAGGAAGAGGAAGCCTGTGTACCTGGCCTGGGACAAGAGAGGGATGCAGGGAGATTAGCGGCTGACATGGAACCTGTCAGAGCCCCTGGTCTCTGTCCAGCAGGAGGGTGGGCGACTGGGCCCCCCAGCACCCCAGAACAACAAAGGGATCAGGACTGAAGACAGGGCGGTTAGAAACGCATTTGTGCCGCTCTTCCTGGGTGGCTGGGGGAGGTGGGCAGCTGGGGACGGGGAGACACCGCAGGCACAGTCTCAACCCCAGGGGCTGTGGGGCGAGCTGCTTCCAGGGCCGGCCCCACCTGGGCAGGGGCTGGGCTTTCACCCTCTCGCCCCTGCAGCCCTTGGTCTAAGCTCGCGGCACCCAAGGGCAGCCTCCAGCCTCTGGAACTGCTGGAGGGGACCACGGTGAGAGGGCACGGATCTAGGGCCCCCACGTCATGCCAGCTCCCACCCACAGCAGCCGTCCTTTCTGCTTATTTGAAGGGGTCACTGGAGTTTGCAACCAAGCTGTCGATGATGGGGTGAGTCCTTAACCACCTCTTTGAGAAGAACTTGCTCTAGAAAAAAGGTTTCGACTTCAAGATGGATGAGCCAGTGTCTCCGTGGGGCAGGAGGGTGTCAGGCTGTTAGGGAACAGCGGTGGGACGCCCACCTGCCAGAGCTGCAGACACAGGTTCTGAAACGGGATCACATTCTCCTGTTTGGGTTTAGTTCCAGCATTTTTTTTTGCAGCTTTCCTTACTCCAGCGCTGACTTACTGCACAAACCCTAATTAAATAATACAGAAAATGAAAAAGAAGAGAGGGCTTCCCTGGTGGCACAGTGGTTGAGAGTCCGCCTGCCGATGCAGGGGACGCGGGTTCGTGCCCCGGTCCGGGAAGATCCCACATGCCGTGGAGCGGCTGCGCCCGTGAGCCATGTCCGCTGGGCCTGCATGTCCGGAGCCTGTGCTCCGCAACGGGAGAGGCCACAACAGACAGTGAGAGGCCCGCATACCGCAAAAAAAAAAAAAAAAAAAAATCTCATCCTAATATACCTCTAGAGACTTTTAACTTTTCTGTGCCCTTATCCACTGTTTATTATTATTAGTTATTTAAACTGCAATAGTAATGTAGACAGAATTTGGTATTCTTGTCAGCAGTCACCCTAAGCGAGCACTTCTGTTACTCAGTTACCATCCTGATGGCTACTTAACGATCCTCTATTGTCAGAATCAACAGTGCTTCTATGGATTTCTATTGTAAATTAAAAATGCAAGGAACATGTTCATGATATCATTTTCATGATATTCTTTTAAATTATCATTTTCTGGGATTAGGATTACAGGATCAAAGGCTATGAATGTCTTTTATGATTCTTGACAGTATGACCAATTTGTCATCAAGAGACACACTGTCAGCAGTGGGGTATCACAGTAAGGTATCAGCGTGCCCACTGATCAGCAGCGTAAGGCTTTACAGCAAGAAACTGTTTCCTGAATTAACACGTATGCTGCGGAATACTGTTGTTTTAATTCGCATCACGTGATTGTGAAGCCAACGGTTTCCTGATGCTTGTTTTCTGTGAATTCTCATGTACTTTTGCTCTTTCTATGAATTGTGGTCCTATTTTTGCCTTAGTTACTGCGAGACTTTAAAAAAACATTTAACAGACAGTAATTTTTTTGCCCTCATCGTTAGCGGACACGTATCCACCACAGTTCTGAAAGGCAAACTCTCTACAGTTTTGATTGTAAATCTTTCTACTCCTCTGGAATCCAAATTCAACAGATGCTATAAATATAGTCATGTTCTGAATAGTTCCAGTTCTGAGAAAACTCCAGGTTGAAAAGGAGCTTTCTTTCTCTCATTTCAACACCTTCTCTAAATGGTTGTTTGAGAATTCCCTGGCGGTCCAGTGGTTAGGGCTCCATGCTCTCACTGCTGAGGGCCCGGGTTCAGTCCCTGATCGGGGAACTAAGATCCCACAAGCCGGGCGGTGCAGCCAAAAAAAAAAAAACAACCCAAAACAAATCAAAAAAAGGTTGTTTGAGGTGCTTCAAGGAAGAGGTGTTAGAACCAAAGCTTTTTTATTCAAAAGGAGGTGGGTGGGCTTCACTGTTTAAGAGCTACAGTTCAGCTGCTAAAAACAAGTGCAGAGTCTTTATAAGGAGCTTTCACAAAGCGGTTCAGGAACCTGCATGTCACAAGATCATAGCAGGTTTTCAATCATCATAGACGCATCACATCAGTTATTACAATATTCCAAAAATCTCAGCATTCCTTTCCCGCTTGGGTGACTAAAAACAAAACAAAACAAAACTTTTCTGGTCCCTTTTTCCACAGCCAGAACGGGGACTTGGCTGTGGATTAAATGTGAAAACTGCTGCTGAGCTTCCCTGGGTCCTTGACAACTTCACATACTGCTGCTCTGTGCAGACCATCCACTGTCCAGGCTGTCCTGGGCGAGGGGGCAGGCGACCTTCCTGGGCCTGGCTGGACGCAGAGGGACAAGCCCCCCTCTGCGCACGCCCATGGAACACTGCCCCAACTATCTGGCTGCGGGGGTCCTGGCTCCCTGGCGCTGCGGCAGAGGCTGGTGCCCAGGTGGCCCGCTCAACAACGCGCTCCCAGGCTCCAGAAGCACCTGAACATATTTGTTCATATCTCAGGAAGACTGACCAGCCTCCCAGATGGTGACCAGGTGTTCTTCAACGTGCCCTTGGCCTGAGCTCTGTGCATGGAGTCTGGCTGCCACACGCAGCTTGCTGCCTCGTCAGTGTCTGTACGTTTCAGCCAGGGCTGAGAATTACACACCCAGGTCCGGAGCAGTCAGGTAAAGCTGCCATAGGCTACAACATCACCTTTTATCTCCAACCTTTTAAGGTTTCCTTTCTATCTTGCTAAGTAGGGGATGTTTCCAAAGTGAAGAAAGTCGAACAAGCAGAACTGCCCTGTATCCACACTCACGGGCCTTCAACAGCACAACAAGCTGAGGTCACTGCATGTCCTCTTGTGCTTGTTTTATTTATTTATTTATTCTTGGCTGCGTCGGGTCTTCCTTGCTGCGTGTGGGCTTTCTCTAGTTGCGGCGAGCAGACTCCTCGTTGCCGTGGCTTCTCTTGTTGCGGAGCACGGGCTCTAGGCACGTGGGCTTCAGTAGTTGTGGCACGTGGGCTCAGTAGTTGTGGCTCACAGGCTCTAGAGCGCAGGCTCAGTAGTTGCGGCGCCCAGGCTTAGTCGCTCCGCGGCATGTGGGATCTTCCCAGACCAGGGCTCGAACCCGTGTCCCCTGCATTGGCAGTTGGATTCTTAACCACTGCACCACCAGGGAAGTCCCTTGTGCTTGTTTTTAAAATGTACGTTAAAAAACACAGATATAAAAGAAACTTACAACCTTTTTTTGGCTTAATATTATATCACAATCTGTGTATACTAATCCATCATATTTATACATTATTGATTTAACCTTTCTCCTAATATGTATACCTGTTTTTTACTGTTATAAGTAACATTGCAACACATATTATTGGGAATGAATCTGGACCTGCATTCTTTTTTTTTTTTTGCGGTACACGGGCCTCTCACTGCTGTGGCCTCTCCCGTTGCGGAGCACAGGCTCCGGACGCGCAGGCTCAGCGGCCATGGCTCACGGGCCCAGCCGCTCCATGGCATGTGGGATCTTCCCGGACCGGGTGTCCCGGGACACCCGGACCGTGTCCCCTGCATCGGCAGGCGGACCCTCAACCACTGCGCCACCAGGGAAGCCCTGGACCTGCATTTTAGATCACTTGCTGTGGCTAAACTTTCTGAGTCAAACTGTGCATGACAATTTAAAGATTCTGCATACATTAAAACAACTGCTTTCCAGAGAGGTCATCCCAATTTTCACCACAATGAGAAGAGCATCACCTTGTCTATCGTACTGAACTCTCTCTGCTCTGAATACTAACCTGTCTATTTTTCTGCTCATTAGTAAGCAAAAATTTGTGTCTTGTCATTTGCTTTGCCTTTCTCAGACCACATGGTATATCTGTTTTGATTCTTTTACTTTCAGTCTTTGGACTGTCTTTGCATTTAAAGGGCAACTCTTATAACCAGCATTTAGTTGGTCTTGCCTTTTTTCCAGTCTGACAATCTCTGTATTTTACTTGGAATGTTAAATTCACTTAATGACATTTAATATAATTATTGACATGGCTGGATTAAATCTATCATCTTGGCATAAAATTTCTATTTGCCCTATCTTTGTACCTTTGTTCTTCCTTTTATCTTCTCTTCTATTTTTTAGATTCCATTTATTTCCTCTATTGAATTTTTAGTTATACCTATCTGTGTTATTTTTAGTGGTTGCTCTCAATATTACGATATGCATCTTTAACTTATCACAGTCTATCTTAAAGCAATAGTTTATTATTTTAAAACAATGTAAGAACCTTACAGCAGTAAGGTAAAGTAATGACATTTCCAGCTAAATAAAAGATTAGACTAGCACAGATGCTATGCAAGAAATGCTAAAGCTATAATTTTAGCATTATAAAGCTATAATGCTAAATGCTATAATTCGATTTACTCCCTTCCGCAGTTTGTGCTTTTGTTGTCATATGTCTTATCGCTACATTTGTTATAAATCCCACAATACATTGCTTTAAGTGGTCAGTAATTTTGTGTGTGTGTGTGTGGTCACTAATTTTTAAAAGAAATCCACACTTACAAATTTAGCCTTTCTTTGTGCTCTTCATTTTTCTGTAGATCTAAGCTTCTGCCTGGTACCATAGACCTTCAGACAAGCATAGCGTCTGTGCTAGTCTACTCTTTTATTTATCTGGAAATGTCATTATTTTATCTTCCTGTTGAAAGATATTTTTTGCTGTATATAGAATTTTAGGTTGACTTTTCTTCCTTTAACTTTTTAAAGATATTTTTCCATTGTCTTCTGAAGTCCAATGCTTCTGATAAAAAGCCACCATCATTCTTATTGCTGCCCCTGTATGTTAAGATTTCCCCTTGATGATGGGTTTTCAGCATTTAATTACAATGTGTCTAAGTGTTGTTCTGTTGGTATTTATCCTGCTCCGGGTCTGATGAGCTTCCTGGATATATGTGTTAGATCTGTGTTTTTTAACAAATTGTTAAATTATCCAACAATATTTCTTTAAATATTTTTTCGGCCCTATTTTCTCACTCCTCCCCGTCTGGGAATCCGCTTGCCCATGTGTCTGACCTGATACTCCCGTAAGTTACTGACGCTTGCTCACCTTTTCCCCTCCTCTCTCTCCTCTCTGTGCTTCCATCTGCTTCGTTTCTTCAGGCATGTCTTCAAATCATGTATCCTATCTTTTGCTGCATCCAGTCTGCATTAGTCCCATCCAGTAAGTTTTTTTTTTTTTAATTGCAGATAGAGTATTTTTAGTTCTAAGATTTCCATTTTGTTCTCATTTTACAGTTTCCAAATCGTTCCTGAAATTCTTCATCCACTTCATCCATATTTACTTGTAGATTATTTAATATGTTTATCATAGTTTTTAAAAAGTCGGCCGTATAATTCCAAACCTGGGTAGTCTGTGAGTCTCTTTCTATTGACAATTTTTTCTCCTTTTTATGGGTTGATAATCTGGTGCCTTTACACATTTTGTAATTTTTAAATTTTATGCCTGAGCTTTTGCCTAAAGCTGATAATTTTTAAAAAGAGGAAAGCTTTACTCTGTTAGACAGCTAGGATGAAGGGTTTATCAGTTTAAAGCACTTAGAAACAGAGCAAGTTGGGGGTGGGTTGTGGCTTTAAACTCTCCGGGAGTCCAGTGAGGTATCTCTTCACTTTTCGGCTCAGCCCCCGACTCTCTTGGCCACCAAGAATAGCTTATAAAATTTACATTGCTTGAGGCTTGGTTCAACTTTCATAAATTTCGGTTTACCAACTGTTTCAAGTGCTCCAGTGGTTGGGTTCACAACTCTCCATCCAGGGAGGCCTGGTACCAACTGCTGCTGGACTTCTGAACTGGGACATGTTAAAACTATGAGACGAAAATTTTAAGACCGTGAGACCATGAGACCATGAGACCATGAGAGTTGGAAATCATGACACTTTGAAACTGTGTGATTTTAAGATTTTGATATATTTTGCTTTCTGGTCCCACCCCTCAGTCTCCACTTATTCTGTCAGAGAATTTCTAGGGTTAGTAGAGAGGATTATCGTTACATTCGAGGCTCCTCCAGATTTCAACCTGGTGTTCCAGCCCTGAGGTCTCTGAAGCCCGGTTCCTCCTGGTCTGAGCAGAGACGGTCCTACTCTGGCAGCTCGTCACCCGTCCTCCCTGAAGCCTCAGTGACTCGCCCCAGGGATGAACGCGTCTTCTGCTCTTTGCTCACTTAGGAAGGCACTGTCACTCCACCATTAAGTTCTTTTAGCTCTTTGCGTATCCACAGGTCTTGGACGGCTTTAAAGGAAGGTGTAATTGTTTGGTTCATATCAGAATTTCTTGTTGTTTTGGCAAGAGTAAAGGTCTTTCATACACTTCTACATCCTAGATGGAAATAGGACTCACCCGTTCATCAGCTCTGTTTTGCCAGTTTTTTTGTGGTTCTCTGTTAGGAGTACCTTTACAAATTTCCCAATAGAAGGGTGTCTTTTAAAAACTTGATTTCTAGCTTTATTGCTTTGTGGTCTTAAGAAATCAGTTCTTTGGTATTTAACATGTTATTGCTAATGGTCAATTCTGGTCAAATTTGGTAAATGTATATGAACGCTTAAGAATGTATGTTCTTTAATATTCTCTAATTGTATACATCCTTGAGATAATGTATATCTTCTAATGGTAAAACTTGGCTAGAATTTTATCAAATCTGGCTAAGTTTGGAGAAGGCTCCATCTGTGCTTGGGAACTATATGTATTCTAAAATTGCTGGGGTCAGCACTCCGCGCATGCCCGTTAGCAGAGAGCGATATCGTGTTCAGATGTTTGTCTTAAGTAACATGTGGCCTGCTTTTCCTCTTTGCTTTGGAGGGAGGCGAAATCTCCCACTTGTAATTCCCTCAATTTACGCTTCAAGCATTTTCAGGCTATGTTGTTAGGAGTTTACGGATTGTTACACCCTCCTGGTTGTTAGCAGTATTATTATTGAATGGTCCTCTTTAGCCCTATCAATCCATTTGCCTTTTACTATATTTAGTTTGTTATGAACATTGCTACATCCATTATCCTTGGTTAGAATTCTGCTGGCCTACCATTTTCAACCTGTTATTATATATGTTGTACTTTTATTTCCATGTTTTTATCTTGTTTATTCCCTTCTCCTTTTCTGATTTCCATTTGATTTCATTTTTTAAGTTCTAATCCCTTGCCCCTGCTTTCCGAAACCCCTTGCAGAAACATTCTGTTTTATATCTTTCTGATTACTTTTCTTTAAACTTCTCCAAGCATTTTTTTGACACAAACCGTGATGAAACAAAGTTACAAATAAGTCAGCCAGCGATTTTAAGCCTGTCTGGTTTCTACAGAGGGATGGGAAAATAGTGGTCATCGAACTCTCAGGTTAACATAGAAACTTATCTTAAAATTAATATGATAAATAATGATCTCCAAGCCACATGCTTCGATGACACTTGGTAAATGAATAAAAAGTGCATTGAATTTACATTAACTAAAGTATTTTTATACTCACAGTTGTCAAGATAAGTTCGTTTTCTCCGATGTCATACAGATGATCAAATTTTAATTTCTTAATTAAAAAGTAAAAAGCAATATAAATATGAAAATAGTAAGGCTGTCCCTAAATTTCATTTTATGCTTTTTAAATACTTATAAATATGCATCATATTAAAGAGTAACATTATTCATATGGCTTTTTCAGAAGATAAGCGGTTTGGAAGTGGGAAGGGTGATGACTTGTTAAAATGGAAGGAAAAAGAATATTAGAAGAAAGAAGACAAAACATTAGCTCAGAAAAGCTTTTCAAGACACGCCTTTGAAAGGGAGCAAGTGTTTTCAGATCCAACTTAAAGCAGCTTGGTTGTGTGTGCTGCTTTTATCTCCTGACAGGCAAATTTCTCTGCTTCCTCCCTATCAATAAACACCCTTTACATGTGCAAAAGGTACATAATCATGAAGGAAATACCCTCTAGGCAGACTACTGCGAACCAAGAATTAAATCGAGGATATCCATGGTCATTTCTCTACCACACTCAGTTAAAAGACATTCAAAGAGTTTAATAAATCAAAGTAGCCCAGTGGTAGTTTTTCAAAAAGCCCTAATTCAATATGAATGGAGCAGTAAAAGGTGATGATTAATAAAGGTCTTACTTTTTAAGATCTAGCCATGAATCTCTGCAGCAGTTCACTGCAACATACCTGCAACGTGGCTGTCATTAGTTTTAACACTGCCTCAGAAACAACCTACAATAAAAATATCCTCCAAATAACAAACACATAAGAGATTCACTCAGCAGGGTCTGTCTGTGTTACTGGAACTGCTCCCGTACGTCCTGAGATGACTACTCAGGAGGGGGATTCAGTCCCTTCGTACATAGACTGCAGCGAGAGTCCCCTGGGACACCAGAGAGAAGCCTGCGGACAGTGGGCTCCATGCTCACTGGCAGGTTGAGAAGCCCTGTTTCTGGGACATATGCCTTATTTCACCAATTATTTGGAACCAGGAAAAGGTGGAGCCAGAAGCCAAAGGGAGTAAGCTGAGCCAGTGCCCAAAGGACCAATGGAACAGAGGAAAATGGGACGGTTTCCCCAGTCATGTGTTTAAATGCTCCCAAAAAAATGGCTGAGACTACAATTTATTTTTATTTTTTAATAATACCCTGCTTTCTTTCAGAAAGAAAACAACAAATGCTCACTTGAAGGATGTCCGCTTAACCCCTGGATTAGTCTGAAATGCACAGAAGCATATCCTCCTTCTTTGCTTCCTTCACCAGTATATTCCCCTGGATCTAAAATCCCTATGGCTCAGATTAGGTATTTTCCAGCTACCAGATTAAAACCCTGCCTGTCTCTCCTCCCTAGTCAAAAGTGAGCGGGCGGGCCTCACACGGGCTCCATCCCCGAGGAGGTACTCACACGGGCCTCCCGCTGCAGGTGCTGCAGGGCCCTCTTGGCTGGGATGAGGAAGTCCAGGAGGCAGCGCAGCCCGTCCCCACCGTAGAGCTTCTCGGCCACGCTGAACAGCTGCCAGAGCACCGTGGCTGCCGTGGCCTCAAAAGGTGGGTAGAGGGCAGAGAGTGTGTTCTGTATGTAGGTGTCGAGGGATTCCAGATCCTGAGTTGGAAGAGAGGTTTGCGAAATTTAATACATCTAATAAGACAGGTGCACTGGACACCTTCACAGGCTAGCACTGAGGTGTCCACTGTGAAGGCACCTGTTGTATGTCCGGGGATGTGAGTTATCTTTGTGAAACACAGGAGGTATGGGCGAATCCCCAGCACAGAGAAGAGTTCCTGTCGGGGAGGATTGGTTGGTCCTCACGTTGTCACAGAGCAGAAGCATCTGAGGAAGTGCCCATGTCTGTAACAGGTACACCTGACACCTGTGCCCACGAGGGGAACCCAATCTAATGCCTGTGAGTGACGGCTGTCACTGTTATCACAGGAGGCACCACCAAGTTTGGTCTGACATAAGTTCCATCCCATCAAATTCTGAAACATGCACCTTAAATGATGCTTTTTAGGATCTTCCGTGGAGCGTGGGGAATTTCTCAGGGGCTTCCCCCTTCCCCAGCACTCCTGGCTCTGCATAGGGAATGGGGGGCCCTTGTGGGGAGGACAGAGCTGGTCCATATGCCATTTTATACTCAGAAAAGAAGTTCATCCTAGGAAATACATTTCACTTGTACTGATGATTTTTTTAAATTTAAATAGAAACCATTAGGGCATCCTGCAACATAATCCCAGAATTGTGCTCATTCAGTCATTCCAAAAACAGCTATCATTGGTATCTGATTTCCCCTTTAACTTTTGGTGCAACATGCTTTTATATAAAGACAGAGAGCTTTTAGTTTAAAAAATACTTAATTCTATTTTTAGATGTAACATTTCCTGAGGAATGCCATAAGGTTTATTTGTTTGGAGAGGAAATGCAAGGCCACAAATAACAGTTAAAAGCCAAAGAGGTTAAAATTGCATAATTGATTTTTAAAGGAACAATGATTACTGTCTGAGACTCCTCTGAATGGCTAATCATAGATACTTTCCCAAGGAAACTGAAAATAAAGCAGTGCATCCTCTAAGTCTGCAGTAAATGAGGACTCGAAGAGAAACCATCTGTGCTGCCCAAGAGCCAAGAGCTGGGAGCCGGCAGCCGGCAGCCGGGAGCCGGGAGCCGAGAGCCGGGAGGCAGGAGCCGGGAGCTGGGAGGCGGGAGCCGTGTGCTGCAGGGTCGGTTCAGAGGCTGGAAGCCCTCCACCTCCCCGTCAGCCTGGTGAGGCCCCCAGGCCCGCACAGGCCTTCCTGCCACGTCCTGTCCCCCGCCAGACAGGGCCACTCCCTTGTCAGTAGGAATTCTCTAAATACTGATTCTTCCCCAAAGTGCCACGTGCTCTGGCTTCCAAGAACTCAAATCACCCTGAGCCACAAACAAACTTCAGTCCAGGGACTGAACAGAGCTGGTCTGGAGTGGGGGCAGGCCTCAGCCTCCCCGGAAGTTACTAGAGATACAAACCGGCTGGAAGGAGGTGGGGTGCGGCCCGGAGCACAGTCTCTAAGGACCTACTTTGAACTGAAATGCAAACTTCAGGCCCTCCCTGGGAGAGACGCCGCTCAGATGCCCAAACCCAGGCCCATTCCTCCCCCCCGACCCGCGGGGCAGGTCCCGACTCCTCGGTCACCTGTGGTCAGCAGGATATCGGCCCCCACCTCAGCAGCTCACCTTCTGCAAACTGACCAGTGTCGGGGGGAAGGGAACGCTCCTTGAGATGCCACAGCCCTGGTCACCCACGGGGCAGCAACGGCCTCCCCGGCCGCTTCCCTGCCCTTCGGTTCCCGTGGTGACGGGGTCTGGCCCTGCACTCAGCCTGGGGGATGCCCCTCCACCAGCCCCCATGCCCTGTGCGGTCCCTCCACTCGGAGCCTGGTCCTGGCAAGAGCTGCCCAAGGGGAGCTGCCTGCCGTCCGAGAGGCCACTTCCCAGGTTAGGTCAGTCGAGGAAGCCTCGGGAAAGCCAAGGGAGCGGCTCCTCCAGACTCTCCTGCGCTCGCGTGCCCAAGGGCGCTGCCTGCGCAGCCCTGTCCAACTGTCGCCGCTCTCTGGGAACTGCCGTGGGAGCCCCCTGCCACCCTGGTGACGGGGCTCACTCCTGTCCTGGGGAAGAGAGTTGTGATGCACCAGCCAGGTTACCTGACCGGAGGTGGACATCCAGGGCCTGCACCCCAGAACAGACACGAACCACCCTGCAGCCTGAAGGGTGCCCCAGGCTGGCGTGCTTGGTATAGGCAAATGTTCCTACTTGCACACAAATTATAGCAGGCGGCAGCAGACATACAGGAGCCTGAGAGCAGAGAGGCAAGAGCTATTACATTATAGCAAAACCACATTACCTTGAATACATTCAATTCTGCTTAAGAAAACAGCCAAGTATACAGTATGTTTCAGAAAGATTTCCATAAGAAATTCTTACAAAGAGAACATTGTTTTAGTATCGTAAAGGGTGAAGTTCCATCATCTGGTACATTTGTCTGTTTAGCAACGTCTTCCCTGATGTTCGCTGGGCTGTGTGTGTGTGTGTGTGTCTGTGTGTGAGCGTGTGGGGTGTCTGTGTGTGTGTCTGTGCATGTGGGCATCTATGTGTGTGCCTTTGTGGGGTGTCTCTGTGTGTGTGTACACCTAGATAAGTAGGGAGCCAAGTGGGCAAATCCTTAAAATAGTCCCCAGGCCTCTGGGTGCAGAGGCAGAGGAGGGAGAGTGGACACAGGGAGGGAGGATGTCCGTTGAGAATTTCTAACTGTTTCCACCTGGCCCCGCTCTCCATATGGTACAACTCACCCATTCACCAAAACCTGGCAAACCAGCAAAACATCCCAAGTAGACAGGAAAGGGCTGACTTCTGAAACAACTCAGGATTCCCGTCTGAAGCAAATGCACATACGGACATGGCTGGCTTCAGAACGTAGGACTGTGCCTGTTTACTTGATCATAAGTCTAACTGTGGCTTAGACTGTGACAAGTGTGAACACACATTAGTGCGATGGCTGAGACAGCACTGGTGTGAAGACATTTGATTACCATTCTGCTGCACTGAGAATCCTGTGTTATCTGGCCGACAGCAGAACTGCTTTTGCCTTTTAACAACAGAAAATTTACATCTGGAGAAACATTGTAAAGCTTCACTCTTGACGAAGGATTTGTTTCCCCCGCTAAGTTTAGTAAAATCGGGTGACATGAGAGTGACTTCATGGCAGTAAGCTCCTCCTGCCCTGCGCCTGCAGGAGAGGACGCAGTCTCGGTGCACAGGCCCACCCCGTGACCCTCTAAGCTCGCGTGTGCTGCAGGAGAGGAGACAGAGGCTGGGGCCTAGTGGCGGCCGGTCGCAGGGACTGAGGAAAGATGCCCGCTGGAAACAACCTGCTTCTCCCTCCCGGGGGCAAGAAACAGGCAAATGTCACAGCAAACAGAGTTTCTTCTCAGTTGGAGGCTTGTGCTGACTGAAGGATGCCAGCTGCACGGGCGAGGGACCAGCAGGGTGCCCGTCCAGGGGCCGGCTGGCTGCAGAGATGCAGCCGAGGCTGGCCCGCTGTGCGGTGCTCACGTTTTAATTCAAGTGCAGCATCCCTGAGGATGAGTAAGGGTGTGAGCCCAGGATGGAGCCGCAGGCCGTCTGCAGCCGTGGCAAGGCAGTGCACACGTCAGGAGAGGGTCTGCAGGGGCCACCCCAGGGAAGGCACCCAAGACGACAGAGTGCTGGATAGAGAGGGTCCCCAGCAGGTGGCGCACAGACCAGGTTCCGAGACCCTCCCCCACTATCCTGAACAGACATGCGCTGGCCTCTGACCCAGTGCAGCCCCTCACATCGCCATGGGGACAGAGAGTGCAAGGAAGTCAGAGGCATCGGCACAGCCACCTTGGGGACGCCTGCCCTGCGGCCACACTGACGACCAAGGAGCCCAGATGCCCAATCTTGTGGGTGACCCCTTGACGTCTGGGTCATCACGCCCAGGGACAGTAGGGCGCGTCTAGGACACAGGACGCGGTCTTAGATGGGGTAAGGGGAAGACCGGGCAGCCAGTCCTGTCCACCCCCCTCAGCCAGGCTGGGGGGCTTCTCCAGGACACAGTCATGTCACCTCGCTCTGAAAATCCACAGTGTGCTGATGTCAGGGTGCAGAGAGCAAACAGAAAGTGGCCTGGGGCACCGTCCCAGAGGCACCATCCCTGGGTGGCTGGGTGGGGGGGAGGGCAGTGGTCACAAAGGGCCCCCTTCTCGTCTGGGAGTCGGCCCCTCCTGCATCCCCATGACCAGCCCCCAGCCATACCCCAGATGGCGCACAGCCTAGGATGGGACCATCGGAGCTGGGGTGCCTGTCAGCCAGGCACTTCCACCCCAGAAATTCACCACTGTGGCCTTTGCCTTGGCCAGATTTTATAAATAAAACTCAGGCTGTAAGGGCAGCAGCAGGTACCCATCATGGGACACTGGAACCCTTCCGGCAGTCCGTCCGAGCAGGGGCCCTGGGGATGGGAGGGGTGCCCACAGTGGGCCTCCCTGTGGCCCACTTTCCATCAATGGCCACTTTCTCAGCCCCATCGGCATGAATGAGGAGGCTGGCATGCAACCCACACTCCCCCGGAGGGCTGCTCTGGGCAGCCGACCTGGTTACAGCCACTCAGCTACTCTTAACAGAGGCCTCCTTCCTGCAAGGGCCCAGTGATGGCCCCCGGTGTCCTGTCCAGGGCCCCGATGGCCATCTCTGATTTCCTGTGTGCAGAGACCCAGAAACCACCTTTGAGTCAAAGGAAACCTGTCTAGGAAGCCTGGTCCCCTTGGCTGGGCCGGTGTGCTAGCCTGTCTATGCCAGATCTGGCTGCATCCAGCCTGTCCACACCCGGCCCTACTCTCCACTGGCAGCTGCTGCGTGTTAGGGCTTCCTGGGCCTCCCGGCTCTGGAGGCTGAAGATGCTTCTACGCCCAAACCTGTACAGGGAGGGAAGCGTTGGGAAGGGAAAGTGCCTGGGCCTCTTGAGGTCCGCGCGCTAGGCTCCTGGAAGAGTTCGGAGGTCACCGAAAGCATCGTGTGCCCCAAATCCCGCTGGCCTAGCTTTAGAGACCCTG